GATTCCGTGGCGGCTATGCGCATTATTCCGCCATTCACGGTTGTTGAACCCAGAAGTAGTCGCGGAGTTGCAAGCCATTTACGAATAGGGTGAAATTTGAAAAATCGATTTGCACTCTGCCTTTGCCTCCCCTCGTTTCGCGAAACCCGCCAGATAAGCAACGAATAACGAGTGATGTTGGTAATGATGGTTTCTGCTACGGGGGTGGCGAGATAGTCAGTACTATAGGGGTTGTACCGGCCACTCGGTTCGCTGCTGGAGGGTGCCCAGACGGATCAATATTACATTACTATAAATAATTAATAGACGACTGCGTTTATATGCGTTCTACGTATATTATCGTACACATACCATTTTTCCTTCGCTATAGTATGTACGTACACTGTAACTTTTACGCAATAGTTGTATATTTCAGTATTATTATTTCTATCTTCTAGTTTTACCTCATTTTCGAGAAGTCGTTTTACGATAAAGAAATTTAGTGATGATCTAAGTCAAAATAATTAGTTAACCCTTTGAACTTAGGTACTGCCAGCCAACTATAGTTTCGTTACCATGAACACGATATATTCGATTTTCCTAGAGGAACAGTAACCAACTTGAAATTTCTGTCATAGCAAGATCCTAGCTTTGTTAGTAGGTACGAATATTGTTCCTTCGTTGTAGACGCGCATTACCGTCACGTCCAAGTCATAAAGGCTCGTAAAGGGGATAGCCTATTTTACGGATAATTAGGCGCAGACAATGAACGCAGCCCCGTAATATACTAACTACGTAGAGCTTTTGAAAGGGCGCCTGTAGACCCTAAGTTATATGTTCATATCGTGGGTGCCTACCATTCCCAGTGACCTCTACGTAGAAACTAATTACGAGACGGTTCTCTGCGATACGTATTTCCTCCGTGAGTTATTGCTTCGGCTGCGGTATATGAGAATCAAAAAAGAATGCAATAAAGTTGTATCGATTTTATGCATGCTCCTCCCGTACAATACGTGCAGTATGGTCAAGTACCCGGTCAAAGTATTCAGCCTATATTTGAATGGCTAGTTTTTTGTTTCCAATATAGAGCTACCCTGCGAAATGACTAAAACGCATGAAACTTCGATACTCGATCAAATTACATATTAATTGAGCCATCGAAAGTCTTGATAAATATTTATCGATCCGATTGTATCGTCGAATTTCAACGTTGATTGGATCCGTTTTTGTTGAAGTGTGACAAAACAAGAATTCTTGCCTCGTAGAAAAAGAAAAAAGTAGCACGAAAGTGTTTTTTAACGTCATTCGTAAAATTGTCATTAAGCAAGTCAAAACTTCAGGGTTGTTTATCCCCCCTAAGAATTATACCCTGTGGCGAAGTGCACTGCTCCCTGTGGATTGGTCGAGGTAAAGACTCGCTATCATAACTTTTGAAAACGTCAAGAAGAAAAAGGGTGTAGATAAAAAAGTGGACTAGGATCATACTAGGGGGTGAATGTCCAAGGCATTGAACCCTCAGACATTCTCATGCACTTATTTCTTTGTGTTTCGTACGTTTCTATGAAAAGCGAAAGACATGCAACGCTGGACTTTGTAACTTTCGTAACTTGAGGGTGAAGCGAACAAGGGGGTGATAAAAATACACGTAAACAACACACGAGTCAGCCAGTGGCGCATCATGACGGGAAAAAAAGGTTAGGTTGGGGGATCTGGCTTGGACGTGTTTCGGTTGTCAACAAATCCCCTAAGAAAAGGGGTGGTTTAGGCGGTCCAGTTTGAATAAGTAGTTACCGACCTAATAGTAGTGCTGGACTGTGACGACTACTGAATGCGAAATTTTCCAAGGGGGATAGAACTCTACCTCTAACATCAAACCACCATAAACGCCTTTCCTGGACCATTCCCTTCCAGCCCGCCTCCTGGCACATAAAGGAGCTTCCACAAAGACTGTTTCTTGGTCTCGGAACGATCTTGCAATTCTTGACTCGTAGATCCTGCTGATCGAATTGCTATGCTGTAAATGTCTTTGCATCGCTTCGTCAAGATAACGTGGTTGTCGTTTTCTTTGTTCCTTCCTTATCTTTTGTTATCCTCGGCAGTTTATTCGTTCTTGAAGAATTTTCGTATTGTACTCTCATGACTTTGTATTATTAATTATTTTAATAATTCTTTTAATGTCAATAAAGCATCTCATTGCTGCTCTTAAAGATATCAAAAGTATTTTATCTCGTTGTCATCAGTTGGGAGGAATTGCAAAAAAAATTTCTTTACGACGTTCGTATTTGTTATCGTCTCTAAATTTATTTGTCCTTTTCGTATTTCTATAATGCGAAGTGATTTTAGGTGAGTTCGTCGTTATTGGTTTTAAGAGGCTTATACGAGGACGAAGGTCTCGAGTTTCGATTACCCTTGGTAGTACTACAGCTTTACACGAGAAGAGCTTCTATTTCAAGGGTCTCCAGTTTGTACACACCCACAGAGCTTTCATTAATCCATCGCTAAGCGTGACGGTAACCAACGTTGCGATGCAAACGTGGGAAAATCAGGGATTTCTCAAAAATATCCCATTGTCGCTGGCAATGAGAATTTCAAGGGATATTTGAATTCGGTTGAATTTACTTTATTTATTAAATACAAAAAATGAATGTACATAGTGTTGAGAACGATATACAAATTTATTTTATATACTTCCGTGCAATAATTATTTACAAAGTTCTACACTGTACTTAACGACACTAACTATGGCATGGTTATTCGTGCCAAATATGTATAGGCAATATATAAGGTAAAATAAATATTTAAAAATTCAAAGTAATATAGGCACGTTATGTTAAAGAAAAACAAAAATTAAATAACCCACCCCCAAACTTATATCAAAAAATAAATCACGTATCTGTCCTTCGCGAGAATAATAAAATGAAGCATTTCATCGAAAATAATATTTTTCCTTACCGTCGTGTCCCTTTTCCATAAAATGGTCGAATGGAACTGGAAGGGTGTGTGTCTGGCCACGTAAGTTATTCTACTTATAGACTGTTATTATCTCCTCACAAATTACATAGATGTCCGCCAACAGCTACAGTACCCAGCCCCAATAACCAACTCCGAGTCCCACCCTGTCTGATCTCACTCCCTACAGGAGCCTTTGATACACCACGCTGAAGCTCGGCTACCTAACTGTCCCACACTATACAACGTTTATTACAACGATAATACAACCGCATAATAATGCTTCGCTTCGCCGCTACGATAATACCTAATCTAATGTCTGTTGGGCTTGTTAAAATTTACACTAACAAACTGACTGCCTCGCTGCTGGAATCTGACTGGCAAGCACAGTGTGACCAGGACGTAGAAATGAAACGAGGATGGCTAGAAGTTTACATTTCATGTACGATATTTTCATAAAAATATTGTGCAAAGTATTTGTTACCAATGTAAAAACCTTGAATAAATATTTGCTATGAGATGAAATTGCAATACCACCCTGTATGTACATTATCAATACCAGAATACACAACTACTGCTTTGATTCAATAACCACCCCATACCTGATAAAACGAAGTACCTACAGAGAAATTGGTGCTGTGTGAAAGTCTCTGCCGGTGTATAAAATTATATTATTGTATACACCTGTACCTTTGATGTCGGTCGTGAAAATACTCTACACCATTGATTCGTCAATATTTTTGAAAATCCCGCAAGTTTTTAGAAAACACAACCTAATCCCTGATACTGTTTTTGACAGTTTCTAGATAAAAAATTGAGACTCGAATACAAATGAATATTTCAGATTTTTTTATCTGACTCTTTTGTTGTATGCTAAAAGTCCATCAGGATTTTTTTTCTACGGGATTCGAGGACTCGTTATAATAAAAAAAATTCACAGGCATTCAGATATATATTGATCGCGTAGATCGCTGTTCAAATAGATGGCTTTCATCGCGTTCTCATAAATTAAGTTAACTCCGTGCCCGAGGCTGGACTTTAATTCATTAAACGTAGTTTACCTGGCATTTTCAAGCGCGCTGAAAGATAGATTTATATTCGAGGTTAAAGGCACGAGCGGTCGATTCTTTTGTCGAGGCAGAACGAATCAATCTCCACGGTCATTCTGATCTATATATACGTATATGCAAAGTGGCTGGAATGGCATAGCTCGTGGCTGCGTCCAACATCTCTCCCTTTGGAAATGCAATTTTCAGTGCAATTTTTTCGTCGAGCCACGGTCTATAATCCTACGTAGGACGCCGCCGGTGACGGTGGGCGGATGATAGAATAGCGGAGGGGGTGGGCGACATTCGTGAATGAAGAGGAGGGGTTTAATTAAAAGAAATTGCTTTGGAGTATCCTATCAAAAAACCCCCGTCATCGACCGATCGGATTGTGCACCCCCCGGATTAGCTCGAGCCAATCCATTACCATCGCCATCAGCATAGCCATACCAACCTTCTCCGGACTGCGTTGTCAATTGCGGCCTGTTCAAATCAATCCCGTGTTTTTCAATGGCGGCTTGTTACAATCGCGAACGCTCCTGTCGAACAAGGATTTTCATTACTACCCTACCATCCCTCAGCGCTTTTGGTTCATCCGTACTGTCAACTTGTTAGCCGAGCATTCGCGTCATGCAAATCAAGCACAAACTTCCGATCTAATCTTGCACGTTCGTTTTGTGTGTTTCCCTGGGCTACCTTTCATTCAGTCGCTTGGCCCTTTCACTGAAATTTCACGAAATACTTGACAATTCCGAGAGTACCGAAATTCCGTGTATCCAGTAAGGGCTCTTATTCTTGCTTGAAACGCAGGGGTAGGCACTCTTAGATCGTTTCGGCAAGATTTTACAGTCGGCACTTGCAATCAGCACTTTGGCTTCTCTATTATTCTTCGAATGGGTGAGATCGTAAATGTCTGATGGATCCGTGAGGCACGTTTCGACACGAGAGGAGGCGAAAACGGATGAGCTGTTCTCTAACCGGAAGTCACGAGAACGTAAAGCCATTGGTATTTCCTTTGTGTTTCAGTCGTGGAGAACGAAGCGGAGACAGCTGACGCATCGAGGGGAAACAACTTGGAAGGCAGTGCCGGAAACAACCGCGACAATGAGGAAGGTGAGTTCGGCTTGGTTTGCTTTGACGTTTAATTGAATTAATTCAATTGGCAACCATTAAATTAACTGCCAACATGGAAACTCAATTTGGCGAGGCAGAGTGCCACAGTCAGGAGTACGAATACGATGAAGAGGAGGACGAAGAGTCGGAAAGGGATGTACAAGTTCAGGAGACTGATTTCAAGTTCGAAGACTTCCTGCATAGGTACGTAACTGTAAATGATCATGGACTGGTATAACCGCACAATTTGCCTACAGTCGAAACAATCCCTTAGCTTAGTGCTCTATTACTCGAACCCTTCGAAGATCTTATTGGACCTCTTGGGTTCGATTTTGAACAGTATCCGTTTGTGAATCTATATATCGTTTGTTCTAGATTCGCTAATGTTAAAGTAGTCAAGGCCTGCGCCGCACTACTCCAACAGTTCGAAATTAATTCTGACGAGATCAATCACTGTACCGTCAAGCTGCTGCACAGAATTGCCTGGGAATGCAAGATGTCGCCGATGGTTTTTCAGGCATCGATATTTCGAACTTTTCAACGTATACTCGAATCTGAGAGACCTCAACACAAAGTGAGTTTGAAATTGGGAATTAAGAAAATTTTGCCGATTTTCAAATTATCCATACTCATCCTGAGACGAGTCTAAAGTCTCTTCGTCTTTGTTTCTTCGTCATTCCTTAAATGCGTCTTCAATTTTTCCCGCAGGAATTACGGAAGTTTGCCATCTTCATCATACGTGGCTTTATTGAAGTCGCAGAGAAAAATCCAAAATCTTACATGGAGCTACTCTTTTGGAAGACTTCGCGCGAAGCTAACGACATGGTGCAGGGTTATGCCGAGAACGAGGCTAACACGAAAGTTACACGTAGCATGTGGTCCGAAGTTGAGGAAGATGAGCTGCGCACTCTCTTCATGGAACATCAGACTAATAAGTACAGCAAGGGTAGGTACAGAAAAAATTTATCGTAACAAAAAAGAAACTGAACTCTTTGGCTATTAATAAACGCGACGTGGCCAATTTTCAATGCTCGAACTGGACCCAAGCCAAAGCCACAAATGGAGCGGATGTTGAAATTTATTAAACAGAAACTCGAAGCGACGCGTTACATTTTAGGATTTATCGTATCCCGTTATCTCGTGCAGATTGCGAAAATATGGGCTGTTAAATAACTGAAATGCTTTGCGTGGCAATATCATGTACAAATACTATCGATTAATTCCTCACTGGATTATAAAGTACCAACTAGCCGTGAAAATTAAGCTATGCAAGTCACTCATAAAAATGACATATTGAATTCCCTGGCATATTATAATAAATAAATTTTGTATAACTCTTTCATTTACAGATTTGATCGACTGGATATTGGAAAATATAATTAGCGATAATCGTACGCGACGTGGAGTTATCAAGAAACTCAAAGAAATGAGTCTTATCGTCAATTCTAAGGTACACGTGCACAATAATTTCATAAAACCTGGAAGCTCTTTCGAAGACATACATAAAATATTGAATCACAAATTTATTCTCCTCAATATTCCCAGCGGGAGATTTCAGAATATAATTTTCGCAAATTTTCTTCCTTTTAGCTTTATTCTACAAAAAGGTGAAAAAGATACTTTCTTTATAGTTTTCAAAGACTGTTTCACCCTCAAGTACGAACTCTGTCATCGTGAACTACGACCGTACCTGAACTAGTGTCGGATATCCGTGTTCCCCAGCCTAGAGTGACAAGACCAATGATTTACGAGAACTGTCAGAGAGGGTGCACTCTAATAAGTTCCCAAGTTGCATTTCTTCTCTAGGGCTGAGAATCTGTCACCCATAAAAAAAGACGTGCTCTCGCCTCACCCTCCTAGCTTAAAATTTCTGTAGGATGATTACCTTGGGGTAAATTCCGCTACTGAACTTCCCGTGCATTTTTATTTTAGCAAAAAATACAAAATTCCAACTCTTCCTTTAGGTATTTGCATTTCTAAAATGCATAAGCAAATTCATTTCTATTCATACACGTGAGGTATAGAATTTTAAAGAGCAGCATCCCAGTTCCATATCAAGACTGGCGATCGATAACTCTTAGCTAATAGCTGTAAAGCTTTGTTCATTATTATATCAATATTGTATATTATATAAATCTTTTATACTGTAGAACGTTTTTACTCGTTGAAATCGATGATTAATATATCTTCATAACAAATGTATCCAAGAAGTATTTTTTGCTATCGCTTGAAATGGCACTCCGGCTAATATTTAAATAATTACCCGAAATGTACGAGGGCTGAGTTGAGGGTTGAAAGCGTGAGAAACAGCAAACCGTCCGAATACTGTTAAAGGAACATTAGCCTACTTCGTGATCGATGATTAATAGTAGTCATATTGGGGTGTTCTTACTGTAGTGCTAATATTGATTCTCTAATTAAGTCTTCGAACGAGCTGTGAAACCGAAAACGTTTCCCTCGAGAAAAGTCTATTCCAAGTCGGTAGAGTAAAGGTAAAACCTTAGTAGCCAGTCTTGCCAACTGTTCATCAAATATTTATTTCCCAACGGTTCAAACGTAGAATCTACAGCAGCAATTAATCCACATGAACTATGAAAATATGAATTAGGATTTCAAACCTCAAGTGCTAATATACGCTATCGAGATCGACATGCCAACAAAAGATATTAACAAAAATAAAATTTACAGAGAGTGAACAGCGAGATCCAAAAGAATTTGCCCAAGGAATGGTCGGAGGAAGAAATTGCTCAGCTCACAGAAATCTGGGAGCAGGTTAAAGAGGATGACGGTAATTTTTTGTATACGCTTATTTCCCTTCCATTAAAATTTTATTATATCGCTATCTATATGCATAAATCTCAAGTCAATAGCTCACAATATATCGGCAACATTATTAAAATTGACATTTTTATTTGCTTTGTCATTCGCTGAAAAGAAGCTTAAACGAAGGTTGCACAATAAATATAATCTTTTCCATAAGATGAACCTAATGAGAAGTAGCACATTGATTTTTTCGTGTTCAGTGATACCGTAGAGTGCACGATGAACAACCGAGTATTATGGAGAACAGTAAAGACACTCGACCGTGATAACCCTGGCTTTTTGGCCTTACGACGTTCTTGCAGATCCCGTGGACCTCATTTACAACGGGCTACGCATAAAGCGCACGAAAGCTAAGATCAAAGAGAAGCTCTTGGAATTGAGTTTGGTGGAAAGCCGTGCGCAGTTGCGCAAGAGAAATACCAAGAAAAGCAACCCTGGTAAGTCCTAAGATTTTCCACTGACTTCTCGCATCTCCTCAGGCTTCCACATCAGCGGGGAGTCTTCGTCTTACGAATCCCGAGCTTCCTTCCATTCTGAACGCATCTATCTTTCTGGCTATGCTCCGCACCGGCACTACTCGCCTGTCTTGTTCAATCGTTTCCCCTGGTAACATGATTGTGAGGGATTGCGTGGAATGGACTCACTTCCGCGAAAAACACGGGTCACAGCCGATCAATTTATAAAAGGCCTTTGTGTGTCCTTTTCATTGAAGCTCAACGGTTTTTATCGTTCCGGAAAGCTTTATATGTAGTACCTACGTTGCCTCTCAGGCATCGTGTCTGTACCTTTCCTCAAAAAAAAAGACCCTACTGCACTCCGCTTTTATTGGATCATGCAACCCTACGGAAGAGAACCACCCATGTACGATATATCCCCATTTCACAAAATTTATAATGTTTCCCGTAACGTGACATTGTACCAGAATTCCAGCAGACGCCGTATTGCCAGAGTCTTGAAAATTTTCTACCATTCATACCCCCAGCTGCTAGTAATAACAATGCAAAGCTACACTCTCGGGTCCCTTCTTCCTTAAAGTGTACCGTATATTCACCCTCGTTGTTGAGCAGTAAATAAACCCACTCACTGATTAAGGGATGTAATTCGATTGGATGTACGTCTTCGTTGTCTGGGCAATATCGTATATTACGCTAAGGGCATTTGATTCAGTAATGCGGTATATCCTGTTTGGCTTCTCGTAGCGTTGCTTCTGCGACGATACCTACGTCGTCCTGTAGGCCTCTCTCACTGATCGAAATCATCCATCGAATCAGGATGATTTGCCCGAAGCCATGAACGGCAGCCAATAAAATCAGCGTCGCATTACATCTCATCTCGTTATGCGTGATTTATAATGCCAAGCGTTTCAGTATAAGAGGGACGGAGAAGCCCTTCTTCACTTTGGAAATACGAGCCTTCGGTGACTGCGCGGTTCTCAAGCTGTATCTACTCTGGCTGCAAGTTCCTAATGATACTTTTATTATATATTTCTAATTCCACATTGTCATAGGTGAATGTACATTGGAATACAAAATTTGATGATCTGGATTAACCAATCCAGATACTATAAACCATCATCATGAATTTTTTCTCTTTCTATTTTCTCTGTTAAACTCGAGAACATCGCATGTATATGTATATGACAGTTTTACAACTTGGTCGTAAAACCGACAATCATAAGGTAATGGTGTGAACAGGCTGCACCATCGTGCTAAATATAAATCCGGTTGCGTTTCTAGACACGGAAAGCAAGGATTATAACGTCGAGTGGACGGTAACGAGGCGTAGTTAAGTCATCCGGGATGCTTTCGTAGAAGATGGGAACGGCGTCGCTGGTTTCAGGAAAAATAACGAGGGCTCGTTGATCAGCTGTCGCTCGATGAGGCTTGCAATTTCTTCGTGAACTTTCAGGATGGGAGATCGTCTTTCGATTCTTTATCGTTATCCCGAAGGATTGACAGGGATAGGGTAGCCCCAAGAAAATGTTATTTCTCTCATATAGGAGAATACAAGACAGATTGATTGTATGGGTTCAGTTTCGTTAACGTGCCAAGATTCAATATTAGAAATCTATTTGAGAAGTTTTACGTAAAGCGCATCGCGTTAAGGCGCGTCAAGCATCAAAAGTTATTTGATCGGTTATATCACTGATGATTAAAGAAGTTTGACATTCCTTTCACAATAAAAAGTTACATCCCGATAATTCATTGTGGAATTTAATAGCCTCACTTTTCAATCTTATCGAAGCGCTTATTACGATGAAGTTTGAACGTTGGGTGCGGATCGGTCGATCGAGCTATGTTTAATTTTACTGATCCTGGCAATCTCAAATACTCGATTAATTATTAACGGAACGTCAAATTGTTTAAAGTGACCATACATTATTTATTTGACTGGCAGCCATTAACTTTTCCCTTAGGCACTTGGAAACTCTACGTCACCTCGGTTAATTCTGGTTCCTTCGTTGCCCTCCTGGGAGAGGCTTACCTACCCTTACTGGATCCCTGTCATTTCACCCCTACACAAAGTGGTTCAATTTAAATATTTTATAACAGCATATTTCAGCGGTTTGCGTGCGTGCTGGCACTTAACGCTTAACTGGAATATGAAAATTCGCGTGCGCCGCAGACGGACAGAGTGAAAATTTGTGAATTTCAATTAAAAATAGGACATCGAACACGCTGTATATTTTCTTGGTAAACAAGAAAGAGAGAGAGAAGAAAGATAAAAGGAAGTATGTCGCTGGAAAATTAAATGCGTAGGTTGGTGGTTCATTTTAATAGAATGCGCATATGTTGCTTGAGTAAACGGGGTTTTTAATTAAAGTAAATACGAAGTTTGAGACTGCTGCCAATTTACGTAATGGAGAAAAACCCATGACTAGTTTTATCAAACCGGAAGCTAATTAATCAAATCAATCACCTAGCAATTCATTCTTTTCGTACCGCGTGACGGTTCAATCGAAATATATTATACGATATTACGCAAATGAAATATCTAGCCCACTGGTTCTTCTGTTCTCCAGCAGCAATGAGTATCGATTAACCGCAAGTCATTATTAACGTGCGTGAAAGGGTTGTACGCGTCAATATTATGTAAATTAAAATGAATGCAACCTAATTCTATGATTTTCGTATGATCTCATTGAGAGTAGCAGTGTTATCTTTCACAGCTTTGGTTTGGATTTTTTCAATCCAATCAGTTGCGAATTAGCGAAGATAAAACAGAATCTGATCACACGATCTGAACGTCGCTATTCACTCTCAGCGCTGATCATGATATAATATATATATATCTATACACACACACATATATATATATATATATATATTTAAATAGCACTGCTTTACGATCTACCCTATAATGACGAAAAATTGATTTTCACTTAAGAAGGGTGGATAATCCCCATCCACGTTTCTGTATTATAGAATCGGTGTGGGATATACGTAAGTCGCGAAGATGAAGAAGAAGGTGAGAGAACGAAAGAACGAGGAGCCTTACGCAGATTTTTACCGTATACAGCGAGCGACGTAATTTGCAGTAAATTTTCGCGTTTCATGAACCCCTTGCTATGGCGAAAATATTCGAAAAACGACTTTTGGCTATTTATGGGGTTACACAAGGGGGTCCTTGGCGCATTCCCGTGAGGTTTCTTGGCGACCCCGAAAGGGTGATTGATGGTTCAGCATCACTGGCCATCTACCATTCCGACCCCCTAAATTCTACCAGCTCCTCGTAGTACGTCTAATAGCTGATAAACAACCCCACCATCGTGACAACTACCCATCCTACCCCCATAAGAGGCTTCTACCCTCTTACTAGAAACGTACACAGCCACCCCTTTCATTGATGATATTTACCTGAAATATATTTGCTCTATACATATATGGTGGTACTATACATATATAGTACTCTAATCCCTCTTGGTTTTTGGTGATGTAAGTACGGGGGCTGCTTCACCATCTTATAGAATAATGTGGGAATACACCTCATAAATCTCTAAATACCTTTAACCGCTAATTAAAGTGATGAGGGTTACCATGATAACCTGAATAGTCAATCCCGAAGCGATTTCCTAATTGCTCGATTTCCCGTGCAATTATTTTAACGTGAATAACCTTTTGGTGATGGTACAACGATGACAACATGGTATTTGGTCGAAATGGTTTCTCAATAGAAAACGTTATTATACAACTCCGCCGGAGCTTAATATACCCGTACGTACAAATAGATGGTTATACCGTACATATGTAATCACATAGGCACACAAATCAACGAGAAATCTCATGATACACGTATATTACTTGATTTCGAGTATATTCGCAGAAGGTGAGTTTGCCATTGTTTTATTGATCAGAGTAGGGGCTGTACGTAAATCACAGAGTATCATGGCGGTTCCATCGCTCGAAGGGATGAAATATCGACATTTCATTTTCACATCAAATGCATTTTGGCATTGGCTCTTTCAGTCTGCATCCATTACACATGACTATTCGATTCCACTGTACATTTTTACTCCAACTCACTTTTTTTTTTTTAAGAGAAAAGACTTTTCGGTATATCGCCGAAAAAGGTTGGATTGATTTTTTTGTTTTACTTCTCTCCTAACAACTATATGTTGCTACGACCCACCGGTCCCATACGTGTTTCACATACCGTCGTATTTACGATAAAACCCAAAGAACCCAAGAAGTAAACTAAACGTATGGTTCCCTCTCTTATTTTGTTTCTTCGGGAAAATTGGAAATGGACTCGAATTATTATGACGGATCGTTATTGTTTGTACATATTATATCCCTGTCGATGTAAAAATAACATAAACGATAATTAAAACAGTTAATTAATTTCGTACAAGACCAGTACGCTGCGTGCTATGAACTATTTGAAATTTCATCACCGAAGGGATTACGTACATGCGTTTCGCTCTTCCAAAGCTTTCCAGTTTACCGATCAGGAAACTGGAGCAAACTCGACACGAAGCTCGTTCGAATAAATCGTTGACGTGCATAACTCATCTCGCACTGATCAATTTAAAGATAGCCGATACTAAGGATAAACATAGTGCAAACCAAAAAAAAAGTACAGTGCACAGAATTCATCTGAAGCAATATGTTTCCTGAACAATCTCATCCCTTATGATACATTAATAGTCCATTCACTTTTCATGGGAAATATTGGCAAACGAGTGATAACCCCTGACAGTGATGATTATTAGCCCTGTGTATGTATAAGAAGCTCAACGGTGTCAAAAGGCTGAGGGTAACGAAGGGGAAAAGGGAAACATCATTAAGGGAACACTCGCTTATTACTCATCAAGACGTCAAGAACTCCGTATAACTACCTACCCACCTACCTACCTACCTTACCTACCTTACCTACCTTTGCCTTCTCCACATAAGCGTTAACTTATGCGAACTGAGAGCTTCGTGTCTCTTGTCAGTCATAACGATCCCGCCAACAACCCCCTTTTCAGAAAGGACGAGAAGCCAAGAGCGTCGGGAGTGATATATCCGTAAGCGGCGTAAAAGAACCAAAGGCTCAAAGTACTTATGTAATATTCAGAAGAGGGTTCGGAATAATTACCTAGACAAGAAGGCGAGAAGCGTATCTTTTCTTTTACTAAGTTTCAAGTACTGCGCGTCATTCGCATCTAGCTCGTAGAACGACACTGAATGGATACCGAGGGTAACTTTCTGGTAGGTTGGCAAAACTGCTTCAACGAGTCTAACGAGGATACTTGAACCTGAATGTTAACTAACAATGATTTCTATAGAGCTGCTGTGGGCACCGATTGAATGGGAGCTCCTTTTGTCGATTTGTCTTATGAGCTTTATTCCAGATTGCCTTGATGGTCCGGGTCCTTGAGCGATGAGTACAGGTCGTTTAAAATGTTAAGGATTTTCTCGACTCCCGATATATCGGACGTTGGTATCTCCTTTTACATAGGGCTTGGGTATAGAGGCTTTGCATGAATATACATCGTGGTTTGGAATGAAAGTATCTCTCTAGCTCGTAGGGAATAATAGTGAATTTAATAAAATGCTAATTCACATCGTATAAAATGTGTCGTGCTTACTATCAAGCGATACGATCTTTTAACGGATTATCCTAGAGTCTGGCCAATATCACTCGTTTCCGAGACGCATTACGGTACCGGTTGGAGTTTCATATTTATCAGGGATATTGTTTTTTCTCTCTGATATCTTATTTGTAATTCAATGCATCGTAATAGATCATTTGGGCTCAGTAGTCTGGCGGGAATCGCGTATAATGGAGGGCTTTGTCTTGGCACATGTGGTGGCGAAATAACCTAGGCTATTCCCTTTTTTCTTTCAATCTACGCGCCGCTCTCCCTACAGTCGCCAGAAAAATACATGGATTTTCACGTTTACCCTCTTGAGCACTCCCTTGCGTTATTTCGCCAGCGTGACAAAATCATTTCTGCAAATAAATAAAAACTGTATGAAGTAAATTTTTATAGACGTATATCTATAGATATAATGCTATATGCTCGGTTCTACGTCCGCATACGGACAACAGGATTGCGCGGAATTCATACGCTCTATCTTTCTTTCTCTCTCTGTCTGTTTTTTTTTTTGGACCACGTTCCACTCCTCTTTCCCTGCTTCTATCTATATTTGAATGTTTGGAATACGAATATTACTCGAGGAAATCTCGTTCGCTTGTTTGCCAGAGCACTTCGTCCTCGTACTGTATTCTTCAAGTCCCTTTAATTTTCTATATTCCGGATGCATAAGACAAGAAGTGCAGTGCGAGGGGTCAGTGTATAGTTGCGTAGAAAAATATAAGAAAATGTCACTTTAACGTTTTCCCATGACGAAACAGGAAAATCTAGTTGGGAGACCAGATCACCCAGTCCGTCCTCGGTCGAGGACGACAGCGATCAAGAGGAGAATCAATCCTCTCGCAGGAACAACAAGGCCAGAGGAAAGACAGAAAACCCAAGGAGGAAGAAAAATTTGAGAAAACAACCTGTCATCGTGTACACGGACGCTCAGCTATCCGGTCTTCTGAAAGACGTCATCGAGAACGGTAAGTACCTTAATTAATTAAGGGTCCGATGCCTTTGCTGAAGCAGCCTTAAATCCCGTTTCGGAGGAGCTTCTATTCTTTGCTTGTTTTTCAAGAGTGGATATTTTCGAAGGATCAGGCAGTCGTCCCTTCTGAAAGAGACCTTAATGTCTCTTCTGAAAAACAAGAGAGAATATAGGAATAGATATTATTCCCAAAGGAGCCGCTCCTTAATCTCGTTTCGTGAAAGGAGTCGAGAGTCCATCCTTCTTTCTTTCATCTCTTAGATTTCAGTTTCTCTTAATATTTTTCATAAAAAATTCTCACCTGCACAAATTTCCCAAATACATATATTTATTTTTGTGTAATGAAAAAAAAAAAAAAAAACATACAGTTTTGCCCAAGACGATATTATCATTGAACGAAATTTCTATCAGACATGAAAGATGCTCTGGAGTGGGTTAAGGAGTCCATGGAGGAAGTTCTGGAGGATCGAGATGAAGAAAGCGTCGACGGCATTCCCTTGGTTCCTATAACCGATTACTCAACCGTGGCCATGGATTCGCCCAGTTTTCAACGTCTTCTTCGAGCAATCGGCATCCAGGAGCCTGCCAATGAACAGGAAGCTTACTGGAGGATCCCGTCCAGCATGCTCAACGTCACAATACGTAGACGCTGCGATCTCATTGCAGCAGTCCTTGCCGGGCAATTTATTCTTGAGGGTTGGTAACCGCTGTCCAAACGAGTAATGGCACTCGGTCGCAGTGTATTACGTCGCTGCGTTACTCTCCTTGATTTCAGAACCGAAGGAGCCAAGTCAAGAGGAACCGGAAGTAAACAGCGAGAGCGATGACGACGGCGTGGACGTTTTCGAGAGCGTTAAAAAATTCTTTGCATCTAACGAAATAGAAGGCCAAGGTATTAACGAGCTTTGGATTTCATTTCAAAGATTGAATTCAACGGTATTGTTATTTGGATTTTTAATAGAGAACTCGGGTTAAGATTGCAGGACAGAGTACTCGTTTGGTCCTTACGGTACTACTTTTTGGTATACATAATATTCTTGTAACAATTTGTTCCTGCGAATTAGGGGAATTTGCGAACTTTAATATTCGCGTGTAAATTGTGGTGAATTTTACGCGCAGAGAAACCTCGACCTTCCTCTTCTCAAGTGGCAAGGACAAACAGCGTTTCAACGAGCCGATTGCCGAAGAAACGGAGCGACTCTGGATCAGGCGAACATGAAGCGGAGGAGGTAGTCAGTGATAACGGTGCGACAGACTCGGCCGGTATGTACAGTTACCTGCTTTACCGTCCTCTAGCATGAATTCTGGCAATGTTTGCCCTCTGTTTGTTAACTAGGAAAGCCATCGATGCTTTCAAAAATTGCGTGAACTACAGTCTCTGAAAAATTTTTTTAGATATGTCAGAAACTAAATTAAATAGTAGCAGAATAAAGTCATTGGTGGATTCATCTGACTCGGAAGACGATGAAATAAAACGCGCGGATCTTCCAGGTAATGGATCATTAGACATATTTGTTAATAGCAAATTATTATTTGTCACCCCTAACAATTTGTTTTTTCCACAGATGATGCTAAACGAGTTAGATCAGATAACTCTGATCCTGAAACACCACTGACAAAGAAGCGTCGTGTTCTTGATAGCGACGAGGAAGATGATACTGAACGTCCAGAAGCGGCTCAATCAAGAAATACTCGAAAAATAATTAGCGATGATGAAGATTAGTATCATCCATGCTTTTATTGTTTTGTAATTAATAAACACTCATCGTTTACATAGTATACCTGCCTGACCCTGCTTAAAAAAATAAGCCCCATATTATGAAAATAATGTTAAATATTGACTCTAATAAAATCATAGTTTACAGAACGCTCGTTCCCAAAATACAAAATTTTCCCCTAACCAATAATGGAACAGTACATACAATAACGAAATATGATAACGTGTCAAGAAATCTGTTTTATCAACAGAGATCTTCCCGTGGTAAATCCAGCAAAGTCTGTCCGATATCGGAGTAATTCTCTGTCTGTTCTCTATCCTATATTGGATAACTCGCCCTTATGGATAACCGGTTATATCGAAGCGCTTCAGGGTACTAACGCTAAGAAAAACAGTTCCCGAAAGGCGTCCACATTTTGCCAAGGAGCGACCAGGAAACCATAAGCGCCGTGAAGGTATCCATTGTTCCGCGGCCAACCGGACCAAGTCGAAGGATACCTCTTCTTTCACATAGTATCCGGATAGCTGGTTAGCCAGTGCGGATGACTTTACGTCTTTTGATGGGCAGGTGAGGAGTCTTGGCGAGTGTCAATGATAGAATATTAGGATAATTGCGGGCGACGAAGGAGGAGGCCCTTGGTTTTCGGGCATCTCGCCGCCCGCTGACTTGATTCATTTCTGATGCATAATGCCGCCGCAAAGAGCCCGCATCTCGCGGATTCATGATCAGGCGCACATATCCCGTGAGGAATCATGAAAAACTGCGTTCCTGAACTTATTATTAATAATATTCGATAAAACCAACGAGAGAGGTTACTACGCATTCATGAAGACTTGGGACTCCCAGAGCAAGAAACGGCACCGAACGAACGTCATCACTTTCACGGTGTTCTTCTAGATTCCACCAACGTAGCAAGGGTATCAAATTTGAATAGCTTACGTGGACCATAAAAATATGTATATGTATTATTTATTAATGATTCAGATGCAGTGACTATAATAATTGAACAATTGTTAAAATTAACTTTATTTTTATATTATTGACGTGTACAAAATAATATTTATATTGCTATTCAAGCACGAAGTACATACGTACATACGTGTAAAAGAATTTTATAATAAAATATTTGTAAAACAATTTCACTAACGAGGTGTCATTTAATAAAAATGATCCTGTAATCATTGTCTTCTCGATTAAATATTTAGATCTAAATTTTTTTTTATTATAAATACGTAGTTGATAATGAATCCGCAGACGAAGTAATAAAAATGTCAATAACAAATTTACGAGAAGCGACCACGTGCATTCTAAACTCGACTTCCATGTAACAGGCAACCATGAAGGCTGAGGAGGTCGGTGTTGTGTGACTACCGTTGGAGACCTAAATGCCTGATCGGAACACGTGGTTGATGTACTAGGCAAACATGTAGACAATAGAGCTTTCGTTTACTTATCAGCCCTGACTGCTCGCCTGATACAAGCGCGGGCTCCTTATACGGTTGTAGGTGGAAGCCATCCTTCCTTTCCGTAGAATCTGCACAGCTGCGTGCTATAGCTATATATATATACATCGTGAGCTAGTCGAAACGACAGAATTTGGAATCCATATGTATACATATATTATTGCAATTGAAAATTAAATATTTTAACGCAGAAAATATGTTATACATTTTAAAAACTGATGTTTGTTTACTAATTTTGTTAAAATATTTAATTACAAATACACTGTATCTAATTGTTGTAATTAGACTACCCTATATAAGATCACGACGGTTGAATGTGTATCTTCTGGCACTATATAGAATCTACACGTTCCTCCCATAGCAAAGCAGTTATACAATAGCCAATTCCACAAAATTTTATATATAAAATAAAAATAGCTACATTAATTCTCGGATATAAAATTATTATTAAAGAAACACTTTCCCTTATAACCGTTGTTTCTTAATAGAAAGACATAATAAGGAGACTAAAAGATTTCTAAATAGCTTCACCCAATGACGCAATATGATTAAATTTCTATTTTTAACGAATAGAAATATAACACAATCATATTTTTCAAACCATTCGTTCAATAATAATACGCTAATTACAATAAACATAGAATGCAATTACAGTGAAATTGGCACCATTAGAATTGCGAAAAAGTTACTTCAAACTGTTCTACGACTTATTCCAAAACGCACGTCTACGACGAACCAGCGTGATCGCACGGAGTCTTGGAAGTAACTAATGCAACCAGAGGATGGCGACCGGGACGAGAAATTGCGTCAGAAAAGTGGGCGCAGCGAGGCTATCGCTCGTATAAAGAGCCTTGCGCGAGAGTAGATATTCAAGGCAACATAAAAGATAACCTCGACAGACTGGCGCCTCTGGGCAACACCTACGAATTACACAGAGACGGGAGCGCGCGCCGACTGCGCGAGTCATCTGCGAACAGTCGCCACTCTACCAGGAGTACATGAAGCTCTGGTGGGTAATGGGCACCCATGCGTGCTCTGAGAGGCGCTACGACTACTCAAGTAGTCACAGCTGCGACGGAACAGACGGCCATCATATATTTTACGAATTCATCGTAATTTCGCATAATTCTTACAAACTTACAAATTCTCGACAACAATAGCGATCAAATGTCATAAATTGTAAGTTTAATCGTTAATTAGCCACCTTAAGATGACTAAGAAATTCGGAAAATCTTACCGAGAGTGGCATGAGTTTTAAAGGGGAAAATATCTATCGAACTCGTTACATATGGTGAACAATATAATTATTTTATTTTTTTGTAATTTTACCAAAAAATACAGAACCGACTATTTTTTTTTTTTAATTTTACCCTCTTTCACGGGTCCTTAAGTAAGACGACTGAATCTCTGAACTCGATTATTACTTCCACGCATTGTCCTTTTACTAAGGCTCTCGTAAAATGGTATTTTTATCTTATATCCAGGTACGTCCATTTGATGAGCTCTGCAAAACAATGAATTTTCATTCACAAGTAATTTTGATAATTTCCTGACGAATAGAAGTCTGTCTATTGATGTCCATAGATACTATTGCTATTATAGATGTATCCATAAGAAATAGTCTACGCACAGCATTTCCAAGTACCCGAAACAACGTTTCAAAGTGCAACCTTATTTTCCGATAACCTTATAATTTTTCGTTAAGCGGTAGAAAAGCTGTAGCACCACAATGAATATTTATGAGAATGATTGATGTCACTGAAATTAAAGAATGTTCAATGAGGACTTTGCGTTATTGCGAAATACGTGGTTGCCGAGTATACCGGAGGGCTCGTTTGCCCGAGCAACGAACTGTCTAAATAAAAGAGTCTCTGTACACACGGTACACTGCAAGAGACCAGCTCCTATCCGGCATATTCCCCGGGTGCATGTACTCCGGACAATTACGTGCGTTACGTCACTCGACTGACCCTGTACTTCAGATTCGCAGGTTCTTGCTGTATTTAACTCTCGTTACGCGGTACTCGATAGCCTGCAAATGACTGCAGTGAACAGAAGTAAATTTAACGAATGCTCGACTCAATTAAAAATAATTATACCGGCAATTAAAATATATTAAAAAATTGCAAAAGCCAAAGAAATTTTGTATCGGACAAACTTTTGAAGATTGAAGTATTTGCTCATATTATTCAAATTTTTTTTTTATATTTTTTCAATTAAAAGTACACACGACTATTCCATTAAACGTACTTATATAAATTTATTAATAATTTTACATTGATATAAATTAGTATTAGTCTGGATATGAACTTGCTGTTTTCACTTTGGTGAATATAGCAGGGGTATATGGATACCCCAATATACGGTTGTCGAAACTCTTTTTGATTGCATTATGAAAATTAGTTTTATCTCATAGACAGTCTACTTCTTCCAGATATAAAAATCAATCTGATTAAACCAGTTGCTTGTGTTTGATGTCCAAGGCACGATCATAGATTATTCAAGATAGGAACCTTTATTCCCTATGATTACTTCCTGCATTCCAACTAGAGCCGATAACTCCTTTAATCACCCCACAGGAAACTTTCCTTGCCAACTTACAACCGACTTGGTCCCTAGAGCCTTAAAGCGGTAGAAACTTTCTTCGACTCAACCGAACGATAAGTCGTGGAAAAGTTTCGAAACTACGTGCGAGTTTCCCACGTCAGTTAGGTATACAAATTTTCCATAAAACCCATAGTACCGTGGTACCCCGTATACTTGCCTTGAAAATAGCTTCGTCAAACCTCAATAACAATCCATATTTCCAGTCGATCGTTTCACCAATCATTGGTCGATCGGGATCGAAACTAACAGAACTCTCCACGGTCTAAAATACTTCGCGCAAACCCGCTATCGGTACGCAGAAGTTGTCTTACTTCACGAACTTTAGCACAGCTCGATGTTTCTGTCCATAGCTATAGGTATAAGATTCCATTGCAAGTACCTCCATACAGCAGTAGGCTTCACAGTGGAGGCACCGTCGTTGCTGGCATAGGACCGAGTTTTCGGAAGTATCGAACAGTTCCCCGTCCTCCCGTTCCCGGTCCCATCCAACCCGTGACCCTCTTATCCTCCTGATACCGAAGAACTCCACATTGCTGATGGTGCCCTGCCGCCTGCGTTGTCCAACGCGTTGCCGAAATTCGGCCGTGATTGATGGCTATTAGAGTGGGCCAACCGTTCTGTGACCCATCCACCGACAGTGAACTTCACTCCGAGAGGAAAAGATGAACCCAATTAGTTCGGCCAGCACCACACATCGGCAGGCACGTAACTAGAGTTTGGGGTGCCCGTGCCTGGTGGCACAGTGTTTCTCAACTTGTTCCAAGTGAAAAAGTCACTTATGTTACAGAGAGACCCTGGTCGGAAAAAAATATTTTGAAAATAAGAGATTCGCAGATTTTTATATGCTCCCTTTTTTCTGTTGCGATTAACATGTCGGAGGCCGTTGGCAATACCAGTGCAGTTCTGTATCACGGTACTGATTAGGTTGATTAATCGATTACCGCGATACTGATTTAAGCTGTTGAACGATAAAATTTTAATTACCGAATATAATTATTATTTTTATTGGTACGCACAAATTTTCAGTGATACCATACGTTAAGGTAGTTTCGCGATTTTTTATTGACTGGGTCCAATTGTTAAGTAGAGGCTGGATCAAGATCGTACGGTCTGGTTTTGTTTATTTGATCGTGGGATGTACTTCGGGCATTGCCAGACGTATGAGGGCGAACTGTTGGAGTTTATAGAAGAATAAATATTGCAGGTTTCAGGTGAGCTTGCAGCCCGAGTACATGGTACAGGCGCCGCCTCTTCACGGCTCTGCTTGCCGTTGCCGCAGCAACATACAAGACTCTTTATTAAAAACAATTAACATTCATACATTGTTTATAAGCTGGCTTTCCCCCGTTAAACGTACCAATTATAATTACAAACTTAAATGTATAATATATCAAAGCAGTATTTCACAGTTATTGACGCTATATGAAAATTGACTTATTACCCGCGTCTCATAAATTCTTTAGTTTCCACTCTTCGACGTGATAACTATCTTCCAGAACGATGAACTTACAGCAATCCAGATTCACTGGAATGAAATCCGTTTGAGAACCTGAACTCCACTAAAACTGCTATCTACTACCTTTTCATGATCAGACACAGTGAGACAGTCTCGTGGCGCTTCTACTTTATAATGATACTGGCGATAGTTTTTAAGGATTCCAGAAATATATATTTTTTTTTTACTTCCATGCAATACAGCACTCATAAATATTCGTTGTCAAAGAAATAATATTTAACAACAGGTAACGTTGTTAAAATTTAACATGAACATCTATTTTTGCATACATTTCATTGTAGCTCTAGATAAAAAATAATCTGCTGCAAGTTCAACCAAGAGTTGAGTAAATTTACAATTTTTCTGTTATTTCATAATATTCTATAGTCACGCTATTGCAGGTCGTACAGCTATATAAGTTTATGTAATTCCGACGGTCTCTCACAGCTGTTGCCAACTCGTGCGCCTCCGCTGACTAAATATGTCGCAAACGGTCGGCCGTTCGCGTAGACCTTTAACAGGCAATCATACAGTAAAAGCGGATATTCGTTGCCCGCGACAAACGTCGCGATGCTCTCACGGCTGTAGATAAAGTCACTAGCGGATACCAGCATAGCGTTCATGCGATCCTCGTACAAAGATTTACCGGTCTCCGCTTATGTTTGATGCACCATTATGTTTTTGATTACGGTAGGTTAGTTGCATTGTCCGCGTCACGAGTCGCGTCAAATTACGGCGTGACTCGCGACGTCGACGGAGGCTCGTCTGAGAAGCGCGTTCACATACTCGGTCAAAAATCTTCAACGACTTAGGTATACGTGTGGAAATATCAATCGCATTTACACTTGGACAATATGAAAGAGCGATACCAACTGTTGGATCCGCGGGAATGAATTAATAAAGACCAATAGAGTTAATGATTTTTCTTCAATGTTCATTATATAAAATTTATAATTGAACAAATTAAAAAAAATATTTTCTATATTTTTATTCGATATACACATTAATTGCTTTCCCGTTTGGAACCATTAGATTCATATATTTGACTGTCTCGTAGGTTTGTGACGCTATGTAAACAGTAGAGATACGTATGACAATATAGAGTCTCATAGGTAACGTAAGAATTAACTGTTTTACTTCGCAATTAAAGCTCTTACTATTTTTCACTAAAACGGAATTAGCATGTCTGCTTTTTTTATTGCAAATATGTTTTAACTCAAGCTCGTGTTTTCAATCGTTAATTGGTGCGATTCGGAGAAATAATTACGACACCGTTAATCGGACGAACGTTGCAGATTCTTATTAAACGTCACGCCAGCAATTACACTGACGTCTTTCGTGGTGCAATCACGTAAGGCGCTGCTAACATAACACGAGGAAATGCGACAAAGTAGAAGACGATTTATCCGGCAAACATAAACGATACGTGGATGACTAACGTTATTCCGGAAACGAGTTCCCGCACTGGTAGTCAGGGCCGCGCACAAGTAAAATATTGAAGTTTACAAATATTTCCATGTTAATTCAATCTTGAAAAAAGAAGAGTATGTTACGAACAGGCCATTGTTATTATTACTGATGAAAATAATGACTGAACCATTAATTAAATTAACTGTTTAATTAACCGTCAGAGAAGCAGGATTAGCGGATTTCTCAGTTTTTTCAACGAATAACAAAAAGGCATCACTGCTCTTCGGGCTATTCGTATATTATTCTCTTCTCGCTGACTGTCCAGATTATCTTCAAGGGTTCTGTGGCGTACTACGTCATATTTGGATGTTTCACTCAATAAGAGAGCATAAGATGAAAGAAAGGACCAAGCGTTACCGACTGATTCCGTGTCAAGGTGTACCTTGTTTACGTTCTTCTACGTTCTACCAGCGGAGCTTAGCAGTGCAGATAAAACTGGTTGGTAAAAGATAGTGGGTAAGGTCGAGACCGGCGATATTTTTGTAACAGAGTAGCAGAAAGTATCGAAGCTCTTCTCGGGCATTATTACACGTTGCGCCATACTTGATCGTCTGACTTTCGATTAAATATTCAATCTAGAGACACCAATTCGCTGTATATAATGATTGGTCTCATAACGATAATTTCCAAGAATGTTAAAATTCCACAAGATTAGTGGCGATGGAGTTGAAAATCATCCATAAGATTTTTTTTACATTTGTATTTACAAGGATAATAAATGTCGATACATAATAACGATTGTAATAAAAAATTGGTCATTAGTGTTACAAAGATCGCTCGTAGGTCAAAAGTTCATGTTGGATGGCAGTGGTGCGAACGGCAAAATGTAGAACCTTTTTATTCACATGTGAATGAACATATATAAGTCCTCTTATTTAAAAAACAATCAATCCTTACGTACATTTCTGATCGAATCCATTTGTGTCTAATTTCGTTCCGTATTAAACAATAGAAAAATATTTCATAGGATTCTAAGACGGAGGCGTGGTACTGTCCGCGCGAAGCTGGGAAGGTGCAGCTTCGCTATAGGCAATATCAAAAACACTTTTTTTCTCAAGAAGTTGCTGATGCCTGAGCCTGGCGCCACCCTGGAGGGAAACAGCGATCCCGGAGTCCAGATCGTCGTCGGGTCTCCTGCTATCCGCGGATTGGCCCTGAAAATGTTCTGGGGATAATTGAGGGGTGGAATGGGGAACGGGTGGGGGATGCAGATAAAAGGGAGGCGGAATTTTTTCGTACTTATATTGGGAATGCTGGACCAGGGGATGATACTGGGTACCTGGTGGCGAAGGCGGCGGCGATGGGGGTTTCTCTGGCGCGAATATTTCAACCGGGGGGTCTTCGTTCTGGCCACCCTCGGCCTTGCGTAACTTCCTGCCCTGACGCACGATCGCTTTCAGTTGTTCCGATTCCACGTTCACCAGAGGCTTGACTTTGCGCCTGCTCCGAGGTGTCGCCTCGGGCGTTTTACCATCTTTGGCATTGGCTTGATTATCGGCCAATCTCTTGTATCTTAACGACCTTCGCATCCAACGTGGTCGCTGCTCTTCCTCTTGAGCTTCTTTCCTCTCTTTTCGCTTTTTCTCCATCTCTTCGCGTTTCTGCTTGTACCAGGACATGTAGCGTGACTGAGTTTTTTCAGATTCCCCATCCTTGCCGGCGTCGCCGGTTTTTGGAGGACTCGATGATTTGTCACCGCCGTTGCTCGACACGGAATCCTTTTCCTTGTCGCCCTTTGACCTCGTCGTCTGAGATTGCCTTTCTTGACTCTTCGTTTTTGATTTTTGTTGCGCGTCACCGTCTTTTTTTTTACAACCGGTCCGTGACTCTTGCTCCTTCGCTGTTAGAATGGGTGAACCCTTTGCTTGCCGTTGAATACGAGGAAGTGACGTCACGTGTTGCACGTTCGATTTTGCTTCCTCGAACTTTTCGTCGGATTCGCTATCCTCTACTGGCTTCTTTGGATCTGCATGCGATTTCTTTCTTTCCTGACTCTTCTCCTTTGGCGATGATTCCTGTTCATCCAACGACGAGCCTTCTTGTTTGCCTTGACCAGTTCTATTTGAATCTTTTAATTTCTCTTTTTTTCTATTTACATGGGGTAATATCCTTCTTTTGATACGAGATGATATTTTTGAAGCTTGAGTATCTCTTATGTGTTTAGGACCTTCTTGTGACGATCCTGTGTCACCTGAACTTTGTGATGTGGCCTGATCAGTTTTGATCGTCGAAGGCTTTTTTTGGGCTTTATCACTGTGCCATTTCTTTCGTTCGGTACTACTACTTATGACTTTCTTTATAGGACCTACAGCTTGAGAAATTATTTCTGTAACTATACCAGATCCTGGAAGTTTGTCCTTTTTTTTAGTTTCACTTTCGCCTTTTGCAGTGCCGGATGTCGAATGTTGCTTTTCATTTTGATTTCGATCCAAATTGTCTTTATCTGTTTTTCCGCTGATCGGCGCTTTTTTTTCTTTATCTGGAGCATTTAATTCCCCCTTCGAAATCGGATCTACAATTGGTACCTTACGCTGTTTTTCACTTGAGCTCATTTTCTCGGGGTTTTCGGTCGACTCGTTCGCAGTATTTGACTTTGTGACGTCATCAATCGATAATACGGAATTGTCTGTTTCGTGTACGGGATCTACGGTATCTCCAAATTTTAATTTTGGTGATTCGCCATGTGTACTCTCTGCTTTCGAAAGAGTTTTTGGATCCTCCGAGATTTGTGTATACTCTCCATTATTATCTTGCCGCAACTGATTATCTTTTTTCTCTGAAATCTTTGGAATACGATGTCGAGGAGTTTGATACGGCTCTGTATGAAACATTGTTTTATTGGAAGATTCACTTGACGTATCGCTCTTATCAGAATCATCGGTAGTATCTTTCTCATGCATTGAATGATGCAAACTGGTCACTGGTATTCCTCCCAACTCTTGTCCCATTTCTATAAAACCCGCTTCCGTGTGTTTCCCTTGGGTGATGTTTTCTTTCGAAATGGAAGGATCATCCGTTTCCCCAGATTTGACTCTTTTCTTTTCCTCACCAGTAACGACATCCGTGAGTGCTCCGTCTCTCGGGCTTTTGTGTTCTTTAAGCTGAACTGTCGAACCAGACTGGGTCTTGTCTATTGACGAATTCCCAAAATCTATTTCCTTGTTGAATGCTCCTTTCTCTAATGCCGTTTTTCCTTCCAGCAATGAATTGTCCGAAAGGATATAAAAAGCTGCTGATTTTGCTTTCAATGGAATATCCTCTTCCTGGACCAAAGTTCTTTCCAATTCGCTCATTGACTTATTTTCCGATTCTTTAATGGCGTCCATTGTGTCTTTTGGGGATACTTGATTTTCAGTTTCTTGATGCTCATTCAATTTCCCCTCAGTTGCTTTTATTTTATTTCGACTCTCTAATTGCGTATTTGTGACATTAAATTGAACATCATCCTGTTTAAGATGAGAGACATCCACAGGAATTTCCATCTCTTCTCTGGCAGCCTGTACTGCTTCGGCCAATCTTTCTGATTCCTCTTTTGCAATTGACATTTCCCTGTTATCTTTCGATTTACAGGCATCTTTAGGTACAATCAAATCTGAACTTACTACAATAGGTGGTTCAACGGATTCTGTTATTCGTTTTTGAGAAATATCTTCGAGAATGCTTATAGGCTCTGTTGCATGTTCACTTTGTGGTTCATGTACAATTGGATGATCTTCAAAAATCTGTAATTTATCCTCAATTTTTATTTGCTCATAAATTTTTGTTTCTGCGTGCTTTTCATCAACTTCTTTTTGCTCCTCAATATTATCCTTATTTTTGTCTGAATGTTGTACATCCGATGGAATAACTGTCTGTACACTTTCTGCGTGTTCAACTTTTCTATCTTCCGAATCCTTATCACTATTCTTATCAGACTTGGATGATATATCAATGTAATCATCCGTGAACTGACGGCTGATATGTTTTTCAAGACTTACCTCAGTTTTCGATGGAATCGATTGATCAGAATTTTCAATATTATCCTGTCGAGTCAACGTGGTCTTGTTGCTTCTTTCTAAATTCATATTATTCGACTCCTGAGAATCTTCCTCAGATATCCCCACAGTTGGATCCGACTCTTTATCCGTTTTGGTAATTTTAATAGGATCAGACATCTTTAGAACTTCATGAAACTTTTCATCCTGTTCGGAAATTTTAATAGGATCCTCTGGATGAGAAGATTTCTCTGCAGACTCATCACTTATCTTTTTACCTTCAATTAACTCAGTTGTCTTCTCTAAATCAGCACCGGCAAGTTTAGATAATTTTTCCTTGGGATCCATGGAAATCTTTTTTTCAGAAGTCTGCCGAATTTCGATTCCTCTCTTCTTTACCTCAGTTCCTTCGGAATTAGTACTTGTACTTCTCGTATCAGAAATATTTTCTTTTCTCACTTTACCAATATATTTTGATCTCAACGTTGATTCTTTTCGATTTTTACCAGAATCCGAAGTGGACTTCGATGACTCTTGAGAAGTACTTTCTTTTTGCACTTCATTATTTCTCCCACTACTGGATACACTATCTTCCTTAATTTCTTTCCGCTTCGCTCTCGTTTCCAATTTCACTTTACTTTGTCCCGACTGATACTTCTGCCTAGTTTGATCCTGCCCACTTATCGAACTTCGCTTCTTCGGCTTATCAAAAGCATCTTCGTACTCTGAACTTCCGGTACTAATCTTTTGGCTTTGATGATACTTTAACATTCTTTGCGACTTTGCCAAAAGATTTTCCTCCTTTCGTGGCTTAGTTTGTTCCTCGCTTAAAGTTTCCGATGTGCCTAATTCGGCCACTGTCTTCGGCTCCCTAATCTTTGAATCAACTTGCTTCTTTGATCTAGTAACGCCGGAATCTCGTTTCCTTAGACTCTCCGTTGACTCGTCTTTACGATCAGTTTCCTTCTTATTACTGTTACTCTTTTCATTGCTATCGCTATCATTACTTTCGTCTACATTCTTCTCGCCAAATTTACGTATTTGTCTTTTTAACGAACTAATTTCTTTCTCTAAAATTCGAAAACTCGGTTCGGACAATTTACCTGACTTTCCTGATTTACATTCCGCCTTTGATGTTTCCCCAACGCTTTCCGCTTTACGATATTTCTCTTTATTTATTTCCGGAGACGATGGGGTATCCATGCGATCGTTCTCTCCTTCACTGAGCACCTTATATCGAATATTACTCTCTTTGTTGCCACTCCGATAAGACTTCTTAGACTTTTCATCTTCCTTAGCAGAACTGCCATTACCGTCTAATGAGTCCGAAATTTCTCTCAATACCTCAGGCTCTAAGCTGATCTTCCTACCATCTCTAGCTTCCTTGGTCTTTCTTCTCAGGACACTAAATCTTTTCTCAGTGAACGATCGACTCTCCTCCTGAATAGGTGATCTCACCCAAAGACTTCTCATACGTTTCAAATCGCTGTCAACATATCGTTTCTTCGACTTCAATTTTTTTTTCAGGTTGGCTTCCTCCTCGGACTCATCGTTGTCGCTTCTACTCCTAATATAAACTTCCGTCTGCGTCGCGGCAGTACGATCAGTCTGCGTAGCAATTGCCACCTGTCCAGGTAGACTCTGAGTCTCTAAATAACTAGCAGCATCCATCGTCGCACAACCTGCGCCTTTATTCTCTCTCTCCAGGAGCAACTGAGTAAGCAATGCATTCCGCCTGGCTAATTCGATCTCGTGTACAGTATAAGGCTGCACGTGTGCCGATTGCATAGTTCGACCATTACTACCTGCCGAGGGTTTTTCAATGGCTTTAGAAATTGCACCACCCACGACCATAGCTGCCTCTGCTGCGACTCCAAGTTCTGCATTCTGCTGCTGACGATTCTCCATTATCCGAGCATCCTTAAACTCCGTCTTGCTAGACTCATCGTAATCGCCGTGATCTATAATGAGTCTCTGAACTTGCGGAGTCAATTCCTCGATATGCTGCCGGCGCTCGTGATCCAAACGTTCTGGCAGAAGTATGATCTCCTGTTGCTGAGACATTGATTCCTTGGTTCTCTGATGAGAGTCCATACCGTGACCCTGAATCTCCTGCATGCTGTCGTGCAAATCCTGCATATGCCGTATTTTCTGATCCTCCATAAATCTTCGTAACAGTATGTCTTTCCCGTCACGATACATACCTGCCTGCTGATCTACTACCAATGTCATAGGCCTTTGGGCCTGGTTCACGTTATTCTCATCCAGCTGACCCCTCGTTACCAACCTCAGTACTTCAGCGTTACCTTCGCGATAGAAATGTTGCTCCCTGAGAAACTTCGATGCTTCCTCATTAGTACGTGGATCCACGTATCTATAGCCTTGTCGAGGTATGTCGGAGCCTCTTTCAAGTTCGTGACGTCGCAGCGAATCCATGTCTACGACGTCATATCCTCGACCCACTTGACCTTCGACATCCTCTATGTAGATGCGTTCCTCCTCAAGACGTTGCCCAGCATCCCTGGCATAGATTGGAACTGGTCCACCTCTTAATCCTAGGGAAGCTGCGTTTGTCGCTTCCCGTTCCAGTTCCTGGCGAGGAACTCTGATGATGTCACCCGGAAGTGACGCCAGGTCACGATTTCTTATGTTTCGACGGTTGAACTGCCAGTTTCGTCTAGTTGGATCTGCGCTCCAGGCTTGTTTCTTATCTGACCAGACGGCTATTGAGAGTTCACAATTAGGTTAGATATGTGTAAATTTGTTGCACTGTCTATACAATTACCTTCGACAGCTTTTCCTGGTTTTCTGTGGAAGTGTCTCTTGGGTCTTCCGTTCGAACGGACTATCAGTGTCTCGGATGAATGTACGCGTCTTTTTCTAGGTGCCATGTAAAATGGACATCCGGGACATATACAGCATAGAATCAGAGCCAGTGCTGCTAGAGCCATCAATAAGCCCAAGAAAATTAATAACCATAATAGTAATTTGTTTTCAGCCTTGTATACCGTCTGCAAACGAAAAGTCTCTATAGATCTTCGGCTTTTATGCATTTTTTCAACTTTTCACAAAGTTCAGAGAATCGATAAACGGATATTGAATCGATATTGAGATGACAGATGGTGTATTGAAATCTAATTATACTTTATACTATAGTACTGCTTACCACTTCTTCGCTGTTTATAGTGGTAACAGTGTTATTAACGGTATGAGTATTAGTGCTTCCACTACCAGTATTAACACCTTCACTGCCAGTATTAACATTACCACCTTCAACAGCGCCAACACCAATTCCTGGTTTTATCCCACTGCCATTACTGCCAATAGTATTAGTCTCCGATTCAGAGCCACCAATAATTCCTACGCCATTGGCAGCTAAAGCCTTTCGAATTCTTTCAATATCAACCAATGAAGTTCCAGAGCCAGTTTGTTCTACTCGAGCCACAACGATGCTTCTGCAATTCGAGTAATTTCTTTAATCATACGTCCAGCTACTATCTGATACTGTTATAGCATTGTTATAATAAAAAGGCCGGTTTTTAATAATATGAAACAAAATCGCAGAAAAATTTACTTTTTTATATTCCCATTGCCCGACTCTTCGCCGCCATGGGGATTCGATTGATTCTGCGGTCTATATGGTCGTATATGTTGAATAGTAACGCGCCCTCCAGTAATAGCTGCCAATGTTTCAGCAGTTTTCGTTGGGTCCAGATGTTCTCCTGGCATTACGAACATCACAGTGCGTGCCCCAACAGCTGCGCCGCCAAGAATTCGCACTTGCGTTGTGCTCGAAAGATGTGGCACACCTAAAATTTAATCTTCATGTAATTACATCAATGTTTTACCATTAAAAGTATTAATCAATGACAAAAAAATAATTTCTGAAAATAGAACGTATGTCTATTGGTCGCACCTAAATCGTAGGCTCTGACAGTAAGAGTATACAAAGCATCGTCATCTGCACGTTTCTTACGATTTTTCCAAATCTTCTCCACCTGTCGTCTCGTTCTATTTTTGGGATGAAGAAACACCGGTGATTTCAGTTGGTCAACAGAGTTTTCTCGTTTGACCATCATTTTCTGAAAAGTTTCCTGAACCTGCAGGAAACCTCTATGAAATTTTGCTGCAAAGTGCTGATATGCACTGTGTCTCGTTCGTCGTACTTTCGTTAATGCTTCACGAAGAATTAATTCTCCGGTCACTTCGTTAAGGTAAAACTTGTTTTCATAGTTTCCATGGATCAGCTCATAACGGACCTCACTGTTCGGTGGTTCCGAATCAGCATCAATAGCCTGTATAATAAAAATTTGTCAGGTAATTTCAAAATCAGAATTTTTTTTTTTATACAGGTATACTTTACCTTTATTATAGCTGGCATCGTGAAATTTGATAGATCAGTATTTAGCATAAACGTGTATGTATCTTTTTCAAAAATAGGTACGTTATCGTTGACATCTAACAAATTAATTATTAGCGGCACTGTATTTCTAAGTCCTCTTCCATCTTCGTCTCGTGCTTCCACTGACAATTGTAATCTTGGAGTCATTTCGCGATCCAATGCATTTGCTCCCATAGCAACTGTTATCAATCCGGTATCCGGATCCATGACAAATGATTCGTTACCAGGTCCTATTATTTTCGTATACTGGATGCTACCAAATAAACCTGTATCCTTGTCCGTAGCACGCACCTAGTTACGATATGGATAACAGTTATCAGAATTCATAAATTATGAAAAGTAATAAAATTTTATAAACGAACTTTCTTACCTGAACCACTTTTGTCCCGGCTTTTACATTTTCCGACAAAGTTACTTCGTAATCCTCTTTTTCAAATAGAGGCGGATTATCGTTAACGTCTCTCAAAAAAATGGTGACTGGTACCGCTGCAGAAAGATTCGTAGCGGGACCTACTTCTTGAGCAACAATCTAAAGAGTTTATAAAAAAACCTTAAATGACCTTAAATATGAAAACTAATCTCCTCCTAGATTAATATTACTTTTTTTCCCCAGTCTCACCTTAAACTGCAGGTTTTTGTACGTTTCATAATCGATAAGTGTATTATCGCGAACAGCAATAACGAAGTCTGCCATACGTTCAGCCACCGTAGGAGTTATTTCAAACGTGCCATTATTATTAATCAATTTCAAGGCGAATACTCCAGCCTTACCAATATCTTCATCTTTAACCCTAGTTGAATATTGATCCATAAAAGTGACCATAGATCCAGGCTCAGCATTCTCCTCCATCCATGCTACGTAGCTGATAAAAATATAAAAATATACATATACACATCTAAATACTTGAACCCTTCCGAAATTCTTGCTACCTACTTATCACTCTCAAAGTATGGCGGATTATTTCCTGGTTCTCCAAGAAGAAGACCCACATCGACCACCGTAGCTTGAGCGGGTGGCTCTTCCCTGGATCTTCGAATTTCTTCAGCTACAATCGTCAGCACGATAGGTGCGCCGACATGAGTAATTTGCGTCAACTCATCCAGTGGTCTTGCCAAACTAATTTCGCCTGTATATTTAGAAAAATTGTCAACATTCATTTATCCTATTCTTCCATGACGTTGATACAGTTGGTCTTGGCTCATTTCCGTATCGACGAACCAGAACCCTATGCTATTCAGAAGGTTCCTTGTCGGATCCGGTAACGTGTACGCGTTATATATATAATGCTGTTATACCTGGTATATTAAGGGCTTGTTTTACATAGCCAGACACGAGAATGTAGCTATTGGTTAGAAGAAGTAATAGTGGGGGTGTCGCATGCGTCTTAGTACTGGACGATAAACATCGCGACCCTAAAGTGGAAACTGACCATTCGGTCGATACTGGCTTAAGAATTAGTTATTTTTCTTCGTGGCAAAACCTGCGCAATATTTTTTTAAACTCATTTTATTTTCCGCAGAAAGTCAACTTGTTGATCCGATATCCGCTAAGACCTTTTGTCCGGATGTGTTCTTTGAAGAACTTCAATTTTTTTCAAATAAGAAATGATTTTCAGAAGAAATATTTTTTAAACTTGTGATGGACTCTGATAGGAAATGTATGTAAAAATAACGAGACGCAATAGGAAACTGGAATTTTGTCATTAAATAATAATTTCCAGTTCGTGTCTCAGTAAAGAAATTTCATGAATATCGCTAGATAAGAATCTTCCATTACGGTCGTATGCCGTAAAACAGAAAATTGCGAACATGATAAAACCAGCATAGTACCCATATGCTAAATTTATTACTATGTCGGATATACACACTGACTGACTTTTTTGGCATTTTACTGATATCTACGTACCCGTAGTCTCTGAAATATTGAAAAATGGTGTAAATGGATTGCCCTCTGATACAAGGCCATATGTGACCTCGCGTGGTGATCCCTTATCGCCATCTTCAGCGTGAACTCGGAGGATTACGTCACCCTTAAAAAACCCACTGTTAAATACGACTAAGGAAACTAACCGAATTCGTGTATAATTCATACTTACAGGCTGCACTGAATTATTAACTCGAGTCAAGGGTGGCGCTAGTGTAAAAACTGGTGGGACGTCCTGAACATCTTGAACAACGACAACCACGTGAATACCTGCGATATTACGTGTGTCCTTTCCAGGCTCCGTATAAGGATCCTATGAAAAATCATTTATTTCTGTTATTTCTGTAAATGAATTTAATTTCAATTAAACGTCCAATTTCTTACCGTAGCATACATAGTGAGTGTGTACATCGATTGAGTTTCAAAATCCAATTCGCCAATGAGCGTGATTGTACCTTGAGTCTGGTCCGGTGTTTGCCGTTGTCGAATAGTGAACAAATCTTTAGGTTGCTGAAAGGATCGATACATTGAAAAAAGCTTAAAGATTCGATTCACAAATAAAAGCACGCGACGATGCATTAATCAATTAAGTTTACCCATAATTCAATATAAACTGGTTTCCCACTCCAAGGATTGGAGCGCACTAGAAGATATCCTAATTTCTTGCCTGGTTTTGTGTTCTGTAATAAAATATAAAAAAATAATAATAATTCCGTCTCTATATTCGTCGTATTAAAATTTCTTGTCGGTGATTCAGAAAACCAACCTCAGGTACCATTATGAGCGACGGTATATGTGGGAATATCTTATCGCGTGGTGTTGTAGCATTGGTTACAGAAATGGTAGCTTGCATAGAATTCGTATCGCCCTTTGAATCTCTGACTCTTACAGCAAAGTCATGAAGGCGTCCCGGTGTCAATCGTCTGGTAAGAATTACATTAGCTTGACAAACTTTGTTGTACAATGTGCAAGGTAAATTTTCGATTCGGACTATCGGTGTTACCGTCGCTAGAAACATCAAGTGCATGGTCAATATAAAGAACATGAGTATCAATGAATAAAATAGTACAGTGAATCATCGATTACCAGTGATATCGAATATCAATGGAAAATCAGCATCCTGATCAGTCGCACGCAATCGAAAGATAACGGAATCAACTTCTGCATCCGCTGGCACAAGGACCAATCCCATATCGGTAGACGTATCGAATTGTGGTCGTACGCAGCTGGTCCATCCATAAATAAATCCCAAGTGAAGCAATGCTTTCAGCCATACTTCGACCAAGTGCATTCTGGGAATAAGAATAATTCGATACTTTCCTTTTAAAAATGCATAATACATCAATAGGGTGACATACAAGTATTAAGAAGTATCAAAAATCGTGTATCTGAGTACTGTAACGTAATTCTTTAACTTATGACCCGACACCGATATCAAAACATACGAGAAGGACTATCTTCGAGAACCAACCTACGTTACCTTCGGCCGTCCACCCGTCGTTCGTGCATCCGCAAGCCAGGCGGGCGCCAGTCAATTCTTTTTTCACCGGGAACTGACGAGCCGGTATAAACTGGGAGTTGGGGTGGAACAGGCCCAACTCCACCAAGAACGAGAGCTCTGACGGAACCTATCGGACGAGGCGATAGCTTAACGGATCCTGTCGATTTTTGGGGACGCGTAAAATCGAGAAACGCAACCGTAGGTGCTGATCTTTGGGGTCGCGTAAAATCAGCAAACGCAACTGGATACACGAACGGGAGCGGACGGTTACGGAAATGCACGGCCGCTCAGGCTGCTAGGTTTGAGGTAGAGAGGGTCGGAGTAAGAGTCCGGCAAATAGTGCGAGAGACAGAGAGCGACGAACCGAGAACGTATCAGAACGAATCTTAATTGTCTATCGAGATCCCTTCACCAATTAATAAATTGGGAATCCTCACCGGAGCTGGTGCAGCTAATCCATGGAGGCCGAGAACTGTATCCAAAGGACACTCTAGGGAGCACTGCACTAAGGCACAGCACTACACCTCCGTAACACTCACAGGAATTCATAGAATTCCTGGATATCGCGAGAACAACGCGAGAACTGTACGAAGCGAGAACTTGCTATACCGTAGCGAAACACGGCAAGAAAAACTATCAACAGACAGCACGGGAGCTCTGCCGGGCAACTCGGTACGTCGAGACTATCTCCCCACGGCAGATTCGAGCACCTCGACCTCAACTAAACACTGACACAATCTTACGAGAGCCTTGACATAACTGTACGAATCAACCCGAGAGCGTAGCTTCTGAGCAGGGTGGCGACCCGAAGGGAACCAGAAATCGAGAACGTTATCTGTATCGGTAACCGGAGCCGCCTTGGGACCGTGATTCGAAAAATCACGTCACAGTATATAGAAATCGTTATGTATTCGTGCTACTGATCGCCCATAATAATAGAAACGGTCCTAATGTAAAAATCAATATCTTACTACGACCTGTTCTGTTTCTTTTTTTTATTATCGTAGCAATTGAAAAAGGTGATTGAACTTTCAACGTTCAAGTACTTATCGTGGTTGCAACACTCAGTAATTATTTACGCCATTTAGCGGCGACTATTCGAGCTCGCGTGATAGGCCACAATCGTAATGGCGTTTCCCAAAGAACTGCATTACTTTTTAACGAGAGCCAGACTTGCGAAATATTCAACAGTTTTCGTACAGACCCTATAACCGCATCTTTATTCACGGGGCTGTCTCAATTAATAAAGCACTAATTCTTGGACATAATGAAAAATGACAATGGAGTGCAAATATTTATTAGTGAAATTTATCGCTAAATATACATATACCGTACCTGACAATACGCGTGAGCCTCAACGAGGACTTACAAATCCTCCTTGTATAGTTACTGGTCAGGTACAGTATATAATATCAGGGTCAGTGTACTGTCCAAGAATCAATAAATGTTTTGACGTCCGCTAGGTCGAAATGTATTGATTATATGACATATAAATGTAGGAATACAACTAGCCTCGAAAATTGGTTCGTGCGTAATGAAATATTTAAAAACACTTGCGTATAGCAACGGTACCGATATATCGAGTGATTATGTAGAGAAACAGATTACAGAAATCAATGTATTATCATCCTAAAAGCGTTGAAGGTCATCGATCGTCCGTTTCGGCGTTTTCGCCGGATACAATATCTCCAGCATCTCTAAAATATGTAATAACGTTGAATGGCGTCACGTGAGTTTCTCAATTGCAAAAATGATTGCGTAACCGTGCAAATAGATAAACAGGTAAGCTTACTCCGACCATTTCTATATTGGAATAGAAAGATGCAGTTCGGATAATACTTGTTGATATTGATTTTACAATCGTGAAACGAGGTCAGGACGATTCATTATGCATACCTAAGCCTAATGCATGGTTCCTGCTGGTTATTCATTAGTTCCTATCAAATTAAATAGTTCGCACGATAAGTGTTCACAGCCTGATTTTTGCATACGTATCTATATCACAGTTATGGAAAAAATTTTCAGGTAATTAATAACATCTATCATTTGATTGCTCTGACGTCAAATGGTGACGCAATTGCCGATTACCTTTATACTTTCTACATAGATATCGATTTTCCACACGTCATTGGAGAACAGACGCGATAATTGTACATATGTAAATTTACATTAAAGCTCATTGGAAATTTCGCAGGAATAGTGTGTCAAGTTAGTTGTTACTTCAAGAAACAAATGTACAGCTGATTCGAGTGTGTGAATAAACTTTCTTCAAGTTGGAGATAAACTTTTTTGATAGCTATAGCTTGATTAATTGAAGGGTGTCAAACCTCAAAGGAATTAATTAGTTCAGTATAATGATCCACCAGAGAATAATAAGCTAATCGTAATCATTTCACGTGTCCTCGATAAGCCGAGGTTAAATTGGTCCTTCGTCATATTTTTATTTTTTGTATTAAACATTAACCTTGTACCATTAATTGCAAGTCTCGTAAAACGTCCTCGGGTGTTTAGCATACAATCGAACAGCATCGGTTTTCAATATCGATTGGCCTTCACCTAGAGATTGAAAGCAGCTAGTCATCCAAGAAACTCGATAGACACTGCCCGGACTATTACTGTTGAATTGACAACTGATATTATTAGGTATCGTTCAGCATGAGGATACAAGTTCGACGACTAGTAATTACGTTGTCCAAAAATAAGCATTCAACAGATTTCCAGAAACAGACCTGCTCTTGAGTAATCAAAGGAGATTCCCTTTACCCAATGACAATATTATTATTGTATTAATTTCCAATCGATTGATCGGGATACAACAATAGATGACATTGCCAGTTTTTGCAATGCTTCAATCTAATATACCTTTCTAATAGTACAATCAAGACTCAAGGTGTAAAATATATATGTATACCTACGCTGATAGAAATTTTTAAAGAGCAAAAAATAATTTCTCATATCAATAACGATCTTATTGTTAGGACTATTATTATTATCGAGTTGGTAAACGGCGGTGGAATAAAGACGTGTCGGAAGTTGAGGAATTCATAGCGTGTATAAGACGAGACTAGAGAAATCAGTGCGTGACTATTCCTAAGTACTCGCACCCCGAAGAAGCAGGTCAGATGTTTCAACCCTTCTTTGACTTCTTCGAAACCCCCCTTTATCGATCATATCTTTTAGAGGATCTACCGCGCCACTATTATTTTTACCTTGTCGGCATCACTGGGTCCGATATTCATTTCGCTCCTGACAATTTTCGCGAGAACTTCCAATTACTTAAAGAGCTTCGACTTTGTTCGTCTACGTAGAAAATCGATTAGACTGTCGCAATTTAGTAGGACGTTACCTATGTACTTAGAATATATGTATACGTATATGCATATGTTTACAGTGGACGAAACGAAGAAACGTCCGAAGCTCCGTCGACGGTCGATTAACAAATTAATATTAAAAATGAATGATCCACATCGGTCAGTGTACCTGGTGCATCGGACGACTGCTTGTTTTTTATTTTCCTTGCGTGCCGTAGCGATTACGATTTTCGAATCGACGTTGTCGCGACATGAAAATTGGTCCAATTGGACGTGAACGTAGCGAAAGTCTTATAAAAAATTGTAATAAGGAGAGCAGAGATGAAATTTTTCTGTTGCATAACAATAGTTGATCGTATTCATGAATTGTATATTACGTATATTAAAGAGTATATATTAATGTAAAAGGCGAAAATTAAGACCGATGCATATTCTGGTTTTTCTATATTCAAAGTCATTTTGATTTACTGTCATGCGCAGTCACGTCAAATCGCCATAAAGTGGAAAATGTGGGGCGATCAAATATCTGAACAGTGTCGGGTATAACGTTATCACGTTATGCCAGTGCAAGTAGCTTTTGAAAAAAAAGGTAACTAAAAATTTTAGTTGAGCTTTTTTTTTATAATAATCTTAGTTGTTTATAAAATCTCGTACCTGAACGCAGTCATTCAAACAAGTAGCACCGATGAATACAGCATGCCGGGAGCACGTTAATTTCACAAAAGTATAAAAACAACGTTATCGTTTCAATGCCTTTCTTTAACCATTGATATCCCGCTTAGTTGTCGCATTTCAAAATAAGTCGTACTTGCGTGTAGTGACATAAAATTTGTTCAATTACTAGTCAACGTTCCCTCAGTGCATATACACATCGACGTGAATTTTTTTTCTTTCCCTCGTTATAAAAAATCACGTAAATCTAATATCACTCTCGAATCACTTTGATTATCCGTTACGTTTTAATTGTTGCCTCGGTTTTTTCTCCCCTCTTGTTTTTTTTTTCTTTTACCACTACTTCCCGTATTTTGTTTTAATACTCTCTAATATTCACGATCGGTCGCGGCTCGTCACTTTGGACATTCCGATCAGCCGTTGTCGAGACTCGACATCTTCGGGGTGGTTTCGTGTGGCCGCGGACAGCGCGCCGAGGCATGTGTAGGGGTTGTCACAGGATTAGGCTCGGTCACCTCCGACGCCGACGCCGGGCGTCGTCACGTGGGTATCACGTGACGTCATTAAACTCACAGAAAGGTGGTAAAAGTGTTTCTGTGAGGCTTTGACCACTTGAAGATCATCATTCATCAGACGACTAGCGAATAATGTATGAATAATAAAGATTTCAGATCTTAGATCCATGACGTAAGAGTTCTAAAAATTAACATTTTCAATATTAATGTCAATATCATAGTTATACGCATTCCCAGTACTTAGAATATATTTAACGATATGATTACGCAATAATTAAAATTCATTTTATGGAAAGTATGTTTAAATAAAAATATTAATGAATTACTATTGCCCGTAGTCTTTATTAAATTCGTTTATTCGTTAACCCTGTTTCCAGGAACCTGCACCCGAAGACACTTACAATTATTGATATAATACAAAGGCTGTGCGCTGTAACAGTGAGTCACAGTCACTCTCTGTAATTCGAATATCAAGGTACTGCGCGAAGGGCTTACCCCTATTCGGAAGGGTTCACCAGTTGGGGTTGCGTGATTTGTTTGCAAAAGAAGCGGGTGGTAAAGATTAAGGCCATTTCAGTGATAGACATCAAGAACTCGAGTTCTTGGCAAAGTCTCGGAAACTTTAACGCCCTAGCGTCAAATGCAGACTAGAATTTTTAAATAGACACTAAAACAATCAGATTAATTAATCGATGACTGTGAAATAACGTATCCCTGGCATTAGTCGCCAGTGCGAACCAGTAATATTAATTATAAAAGCATATTGATATAACGTAATATCTACCGCTCTACAGTGACTGATGGAATTGGAACGTGTAGAAAAATTATTATGCCACCCTGAGATAACTGAAAGCTGGAAGCATGCAACGCGTGCGTAAAATAAATGCATTGCCGCAATAGTCGTAGAAGTAGGGCTTCGAGAAATTACGGTATGCTGAGGTAGATAGATATGTACATACTATATAGGTATATCAACGTTAATACATTGTAGAAAGGGTGGTAGCCATAGAGTGGGGATGAAGTTAGGGGATGAAGTCGAGCGCTGACCAGTGGCTTATATAGTTTCTTGGGATTAGCATAAGGCTGCACGCAAACCCAACGTCCAGGAAGACGATAAGGGAACAGGAGCCTGTTCGTTATATGCGAACCCCTGATTTTCCAGCAACCCTAAGTCCACCCTATAGTTCTCCTCATCTTTACGACCACCCTCTCATAGATCGTCGATCCTATCTTATCTATTGTAATTTTCACTATCTGTCAGTTATTCAAATGATTTTGACATGATTATAACTTTACTTGTCACGGATAATATAAAAGACTATTTTTTACATGGTGATTTTACGTACAGATTCTTTTTTATTGCAATCTATTTTTTGGTTATGGAAAATAGATACTTTCAGAAACCAGATACCTAGTTCTTCGGACAAGTAGTCCGACAGTATGAAAATCGAAAATAACTCGCAGGGCTGAGGTAATTAGAGGATAGCGTGTTTGGAATTAATGTTAAATAAGAAACCCCGTTTCAACGTCTCAGATAAAACGAATAAGGGTGAAAGACACGTGGAGTGTGACTGACCGAGCGAGGCCAAAGTTTGTGTTCTTGATTTACATTGGGAGTTTGAAATGAACTTTTACAATCCTTTTTCAGATATTAGCATAGTAATCAAGTCTGTGTATGAAATACTCGAATGGAGCATAAATTATCGAGAATTAAATCCTGCAGTCTTTGGTACTTGACCATGGTATTAATAAATCAACCATATACATTTATAATAATGGCTTTCATTGAGATAAATTGAGCACCGATTGCATTCGGCGTATAAAAATATTAATAACAAACTTATCATTGATGTACAACACATACAGCTTCATAGGGCAAATCTCAATTCATCGTCATCAATGAAAAATTAACTGTAGGTTTATCGATTGCATATACCATACCGCGTGCTAATGCACTGCAGAACGAATATTTTAAATGAGGAATTGTTCATTTCGAAGGTTTTCTTTTTTAATATCAAATATCAATTCCCGTGAAAAGTGACTGCTCGTAAATCATTAGTATTTTTGCATTTCGCAAAACATTACTACTATAAAAGTGCCACTTGATAGATGTGCTAACGTTCCCAACCTGCATGGCAATTAAATACACGTAGGTATAGTATATAGGTATGTTTTACACGTATGGTTTATACTGTATATACAACATATATGATATGCGGTTACCTTCGGTCATTCTACCCTCACTGACCAGGCGGCCGTTCACACCGACGAATGTAAGAGTTTTTTTTTGTTTAAATATTAGATCCTAATAAATATCAAAACTTAGGTGGATGGAGATTTTTGGAAATTGAATGAGATACAGTGGAACTTCGATAACTCGAATTTTAAGGAAAACTAAATATGCTTCGAGTTATCGCGGTTTCGATCAATCAGGGTTTTCAAGTTATAGAAGTGAAGCATTAGAAAAGTCGAAGATTCATAGTCTTACGAAGATTTTTGACTTATAGAAGTTCGAGTTATCGAAGTCCCACTGTACTTCTTTTTTGCTGTTTTCACCATTGAGGTGTTAAAAGGTTCTTTATGAAACTACAAAATATCTACAAAAGGATGTACAAAAATCACTTAAACGTATAATCGATGTTTTACAAGTCTTCTCGCTACTCGTCTTGGATAAAAGACGACAATTACGTCTGCGTATAACAATAAACAATAACATATAGTAATTATTTGATCTGACATATGGGGTATCGTGTTAACGTACCTATAGTCTACGATTGTACTCAGTACATGAAATAATACGCGACAATAAATAATTATTCATCAACGAAACTTAATAATTAATTAATTGTAAATAAATAAATACTTAGTAAAAGGTGTTAATTATTTACAAAATCTACTATGGGAATTATTGTGTTATTTTATACGCCGTTATACGTATCTTATAACAATGTATTGTTTACCATCATCCTCGTGCTGCACTGTACGAAATATACGAATATTATATTGATACACGCAGTATTTACGACCACTGATTATTACGTATAAATAAAACTGTTTCGCTGCCAAATAAAATTTTCAAGACTTCCTTTAAAGTCACATTTACATTCTACATCCCTCATGAAGCACTTACAATTCCGTAGTCTCAAGTTTTTTACCCAAAGGATTGTTAACTACAGGATTGTGAAGACGATGGGGTGGCGATTTACGGCTGAGATCATTTTGCTCATCTGTGGCACTATCCAAACTACTGCAAAAAGTGTATGAAGAATATCATTTGATAATCACAAGGCTAATACAGAGATAATGTAAAACTCAATAGATAATCTTAAGATTACAAACCTGGAAATTGAGGAAGTTCTTGGCTGAATATAATATGGTTTGTTATCAGTAGTTTCTTCGTTGGTATTTGTTCCATTCAATATTTCATCGTTGTTCAATGCGTTTTCGTCCAAAGAATCTCTCTCGGACGTATGGCTGCAACAAGAGTAACATAGTACAATTGAACAATAATTTTTTTCTTTCATTTCTATTTCAATAAAAACTTATAAAGTTGTTTACCTAAACGACTCGTCGTTTTTAAACCATTCATTTTCATAAGCGTGCATCCAAATTGGATTAGAGCCTTCCATACTGTGCTTATTCGTATTAGGAACTCGTCCTGGACCACGAATAAATTCGGAATCTGTAGCACCTACGTAAAGTGATGTAAATCAGTGATTTGTACTAATCAACAAAAACTAATTCAAAAAAATAATATAATAGGTACCGAAAGGAGATGCGTTAGCAGCTTTAAGCTGTCGCTGAAAGGATGCTCTTTGAGACAAACATAAGGCTATACACAATATCAAAAGAGCACCAAGAAATAATGTTAATGCCAAGAGCCAAAATGTTGTTCCAGCTTGTTCATATTGAACGATCGGTTGCGATTGCGCTGGCTGTGTATCCAAAACGTTAAAGTCTTTGAACAAAGTATCCAATTTTTCAATGTTCCTGTCAACAAGCTCCAAAACGTCCGACACTTCCAAAATGGAATTGTCTTCTCGGTTTATTAAATGCAAATACAAATCTGTTCTTGTACGATCAACCGAACCATCGTGATTTTCATGAATCTTATATTCATCTACATTAACAATCGCACCAGTGACATTTCCAAGTATTCTAAAAGAATATCAAGAGTTACGACAACTAATTAAAAGAGAGAAAACAATTGTATACTTACTCTCTGAAGGATTCTATCCTATTTCGAACTTCCGGTGGATGCTGACGTAGGACGAATCTAACCCGCTGATCCTCGCGTAATAAATAAATAAATACTCTAGCTACATCTTTCAGTCCTTGAGTATCGTTAGCCAAAACCTACCAGACAAATCATTGTACTGTTATCATAAATATTTCAGTTTTTACGCTATTTTGATACCAACCATAAAATCAAAGTAACCCTTCATCCCTCGTTGTGGATCGAAATTCAAACTAACTGCACCAGTCAGTCTGTCCACCAGGAACGGTTGACTCCTAATATCATCCAACCCTTCGGAAAGGGTCATTTGAATAATTCCAACTTGATAATAACTGACTGCTGCATTATCTCCTGCATCCATATCTATTGCCTGCAATATTAAATTTCGATTATCATTCTTTGATAATTACTTTGTATTTCTTTATCCCAATTGTTTTATTGATATGTAAGTTAAATCATAAATTATACAGCTGCTTACCTTTACACTCATAAATTGAGTTCCAAAATCTGCCTCTGTTGTCACGCCACCCGTGAATATCTTGCTGATAAACTTTGGTGGGTTATCATTAATATCAGCCACAGTGATTACGACTTTTAATAGGGTATCATCAGTTTCATCAAAGAAACTCTCATTGGCAGGTACAGTGTTACAGTCTTCAGTTGCCTTGATAAGTAGCAAGTGTTCCTCCTGTTGTTCTCTGTCAAGAGTCTTGGCAGGCTGTAATGTTAATTATTAATTACAATAATGCATTTATATAATTGAATAATAATTATCACTTTCATAATTCCTAAACGTACGCTGAGCTCGTGCGTCAAAATATCCAAGGCAAACATTCCGTCATCATTTCCACCAACGATGAAATAACAAACTTGAGTTGGAGGATCATCCAAGTCATCGACTTCGTCCCTGTCGATAGTCTCTGGAACCGTCACAACTTCTGATCCAGGTGGTTGCTCTTCGGTAAAAACCACGTCGAAAACATCGATCAAGAATTGGGGCTCGTAATCATTTATATTCCGGACATATATCATTAAATCCAAATCTGAACTTAGTGGAGTCGGTGTTCCCAAATCGTAAGCTTCCACTCTTATCTTTAAATAATTCGAATTAATACAAAAATGCAATACGTATATTTTTATTGCATCGAAAAGCAACAGCGCGTTTACTTACCTCATATAATTTTTGAGTTTCCCTGTCTAAAGGTAATTTCAAACTGATTGTCCCAATTTTCTCGTCAATTTGAAACGTTCTCCAATGACCAGCAAGATCTTGTTTTAAACGGTAACGCACTTCCCCATTTGCTCCCATATCAGCATCTTCTGCTTCTACTTCAATGATAGGCGTGCCAACTGTCACGTTCTAATTAATACAAAATAATGAAGTTTAATGAAAGTGAAAATAAATACTTTTATATAGTGTCAATTCTTTACCTCTGCCACACGAATTGTCGTGTTATGTTGTGGACTGATGAATATAGGAGGATTATCATTGTAATCCGTGACACATATATCCAAAATTGCATTATCTTTATTCGATGGAGTTCCAAGGTCACGCGCCTCAAGATGCAACGAGTAATTTCCAAAATGACCTTTCAAGGATCGCACTGCCTGAACTCTAGCAGTCCAGTAATCAGTTTGTTCAAGCATAAAGAATCCTGAATCATGAAATTCATTCAAGATTTTAATATTTTAACATTTCGTACTAATATAACTGATACAACCGGAAAGGTACCTAATTCATTCCCTGATAATATTCTAAGCATTGCACGACCATTTGGAGTCGTTGGGTCATCGGCGTCTTTGATCTTGATAATGGCAATGACGTCCCGAATATCATGAAACTCAGATATGCTTACACATCCATTTGGTGCTTCGATCATTGGTGAATTGTCATTCACGTCTACCACTAAGACTCTGTTGAATGATAATAGTATTATATATTTTTATTTAATCGAAATAAACATAACTGTGATGGCATACTCAATCTGCTTGAAAGCATTTCTTGATTCTCCAGCCGTGTATCCAAATTGATAATTGTCCCACGCTTCTATCACTAAAACATAGGAACTTCTAGTTTCCCAATCAAGATTGTCAGCTACAGTCAATGCACCAGTTTCCGGATTTATAGCAAATTTTCCCTGCATCATCAAAAACCACATCATTTACGATACTAAATTGTTCGGTATAATTGATATTTGAAAATTCACCGAAATTCAATGTAATATACCTGTGAAGACATTCGATCAAGAAGATACGTGATCTTTCCGTAATCACCGCTATCAGGATCCTTAGCTTCTATCACAGCAATTTCGGTACCAATCTTTGAATTCTCCATTGCCGTTACGTTGCTAGTATCTGTTGTGAAGTATGGATTATTATCATTTTCATCGAGAACTTGCACAAAGACTTCCGCCAAGCTGGACCTAGGTGGTATTCCAGAATCAGTAGCCCTGACTGTCAGATTTAACCAAGCATACATTTCCCTGTCAATTCTATTGGCAACAACCATTTCTCCAGTCTCGGGATCCAAATGAACAAGATCCGTGACTTCCTTTGGACTTTCCAGGGAATAAGTGATCGTTCGATTTTTATCAGCATCGTCGGCAACTATACTAGCTATGTTCACGCCATTTTTACTATTTTCAGTAACTGATCTTCTGTAGAAGGGTCTTCGAAATTTTGGATTGTTATCATTCTCATCCTCAATAATTATAGTCAGAGTTGCTGAAATATTAAATTAAAATCAATAAAAAAAAAAATTGCAAAGAATTTTTATACAAAAGATTCCATTATATCTTACCCGATGCTATTTGTAACCCTTTGACAGATGCTAAATCCTCAACGACAAGACCAAGTCTAATCATTTCAACTCTTTCCCTATCCAATAATCGCACCACTCTCAAAAGACCGTCCAGCGCATTCAGTTCCAAAGCCGCCAAATACTCATATTCCTGAGTTCTAATAATCGTACCCTCTTCATTTCGTGCTTCAGACGAATTCGGATCAATTCTGTATCGCAAGATCGGTGCTATATCCGGATCGTTTGCAACAATACGATGCACGTAAGCTCCTACCTATGTGTAATAAAAAGTATAGACTGGTAAGCAAAATATAAAAGATATTATTCATCATAAAAGAAGATCCGGTAAGTAAAGCAATAAAGTGTATTAAAAAGGCAATTCATTGTCAGACTGCAATCCTACCCACCGCTAAAAATGGAGCTGAACGTACCTGCGTATTTTCTCGAATGGTGACGGTACCAGGATCGATGAAAACCGGAGATTTGTTATTGACATCGATGATCGTGATATTCACAAGCACCTCGGCAGTACGTTGAACTTCCGTTCCGCTGTCAATAGCAATGACGTTTAGGCTATAACGCGTCGTTTTCGGTGACGTCAGATCCGGATCTAAGTTGGAACCAGGGGCCACGCTAATTATACCTGTCTCAGGACTGATTACAAATTTGTCTCCGGCTCCGTCCTGAATTCGGTATACGAGTTTATTGTTCGGTGATGACAAATCTTTGTCCCAGGCCTTGACCTACGTCATCATCAGTTATCATAATGTCAGTTCGATTTCTTTAAGTCTTATTAAGTATATAGTTTAATTCAAAACTCACTTGTAAGACTGTTGTTCCGCCTGATAGATCTTCTGGTATACTTCTTTTGTATAGAGTCCTTTCAAATGCCGGTGCATTGTCGTTAACATCTTTTAAATAAATTATCAAAGGTGCATCTGAACTCAAACTTGGACTACCCATATCCCTTGCTCTAACTATTAATCTAAGGGGACGAACTGATGTTTCTTTATGACCTTGACTAATTGGTAGTGCCTCATAATCCATCGGACGTAACGGTGTAACTGTTCCTCGCTTTGGATCGATTGTGAAATTCTTGGAAAATTCACCAGATACTAGAGCGTATACGATTTCACTGTTCTTTGTACCTGGAAATTAAAATTCTTTTAAAAATCTGGAAAATATGCTCATGATATTTTATAAAATTCATGTAGTACCGTTTAAGTCTATGTCAAATGCTTCGACTACCAAAGGAGATTCAAAGTGATCCTGATTTTCCCATAACACTGCTTCGTATTTATTTTGCAGAAATACTGGTGGATTATCATTGACATCGTCAACGTTTACTATCAACTGTGCTGTGTTGCGGTTTCCCTTGCCCAGGTCATCGCGAGCCTCCACCGTGAGATAATGACGGGACACCAGTTCCCTGTCGAAGCCTGGACCGGTTTGCTTCACAGTAATCACACCGGAAATTGGGTTCAGCGTCAACCTACGAGTAACTCAGTTGGATTAGAGTTTTAAAAAATCGATCACAATTATCCATTATGAATGATGATGATGACTTACGCGTGCGCTATGCTACCCCCTAGATTTGTATATCTCACGCCACGTGTTCCAAAATTTCCACTATCCTCATCCAACGCCTGAACCCATGCAACCGTTGTACCAACTGCACAATTCTCAGCAATGGAAACTTCGTATGTACTTTCCGTGAATTCTGGATAATTATCGTTTTGATCCTTGATCAACACAGTTACTGGAACTGCACTGTATTTTGGCGCTGTCGATGCGATTTCCTTTGCAACCAGTGTAAAATTCACAACTGAAATTATGAATTGAAGTAAACACGTGTATAAGTAATAATTAATTATAATAAAAATGATTCGGATACCTGTTCGTTTTTCGAAATCAAGTTTCGATGAATCTTTGACTCGAATTAAAAATGGTGCCTCGTTAATGCCACGTGATGGCGTTACGTCGAATATTCCACCATCTCCTTCAATGAACATTCTAAAAGTACCATTAGTCCCCTAAAAGTGCATTTTGATATTGTAAAAATAATGCTTGTAAAAAATGCTAATAAATACTTTCTATAGGTATACGTACCAGGTCGTGATCATACACTTCGGGAATTGCATCACCCAGAAAATTAACGGGTGTATTAGGCGGTGCATTTTCATTGATCTCTGCTCGATATCGTCCACTACGAAAGCTAGGAGTCTCGTCGTTAACATCCGTAAGAATTATAGTGACTTCCATGGACGCCGATGGAGCAGGGATGACTTTGGATACTTCCTTAGCAGTAATCTCTAGTACGAACGTTCCATCACTGTTTTCTTCCGCTTCACGATCAAGTTGAGTTCTAGTGAAAACCAACCCTGATGTGGCGTCAATATCAAAAAGATAATTTGGTCCTTGCGTGATACTGTACGTCACCTTATTATTGATACCCTTGTCACCATCAATGGCTCTAACTGCGATTAGATAATATAAAACATAAGAAAATATTTTAAATATTTTTGAGAATTTTCAAAATCAACTTGCATCAATACCTTTTAACACAGAAGTACCAATCCTCACGTTCTCACTGATTCTAGTAACAGGTGCAACAACTATAAATTCTGGTGGTTGGTCCTCAACATCTTGCACTTTTACCAATATTGCTGTAGTACCTGTATTAACCTAAAATTAAGAAATTCGTTAAAAACAAATGTATTTCCTCCAACAACATATTTAAAAAAAATTATATTAATGAAAACCGACCTTTTCGTTAATTGCTCTATCAACAGCGAGAATTCTTAATTGATACAGATACTTTCTCTCGTAATCCAATCGACCGACCAACCGGATGATACCTTTTCCGCTCATTGTAGAAATAGAAAATACATCATTATCTCCGTCCAGTTCTTGAAGATAATAGACAACCTGTCCGTGAGCACCTTCGTCAGCGTCAGTAGCTTCTACGGTGGCCAATATGCCTGGACCAGAATCTTCTCGCAGTGTAACAGATGTTGGATGAGGACGAAAAACAGGTGCATTATCATTTATATCTTCCACGAGTAAAAGTAAACTCTGAGTGATGAAATTCCCATCTCCTAATTTGCCATCGGTGAGAGTGAGTACCAATGCGTATTCGTCTTGCGTCTGTAATAGAAAATAATTGACCATCCACATCTCACTTTGGTCGAAAAGATTTTGTGTTAATTTAAAAAAAAAAAAAAAAAAAAAAAAAAAAAAAAAAAAAAAAAAAAAAAAAAAAAAAGAAAAATGAACTGATGAACCGGAAGAATCGGTCCTTAGAACACGAAAAGTTTGACCTCGATTCGGTTCGATCATGCAACCTGTCAAAAGAAATGGGTCGGAACGTAACTTCGGTTACGATTAGTTCTCGTTTTAAAATATTCAATGGAACTAATAGTAGATTATACTCGGTGGACTATCTGTCTTTTATTAACATATATTTAACAGCTGTATCCAAGTGCGAGGAATCGTAAGTACTGGATAGACATTCATATAGAAACGTGTACTTGATTCGTTTCGGTTGCTGAACTAAGCAGTTTGAATTTCACTTTAATATCCTCGACAATGTCATTATTACATGATGGGTCTAAGAAACAAGGAAATCTTTCGGTTTGAAACGATGATGCGATCGGCCATGCGGAACGGTCAAAACGCGAAGACGATCCTGAACCGACAATCTCTTTTACGCTAGGCTACACCCGCAATACGGAACCGCATCGTAGCCATTGAAGTTCGCAATTCAGACAACAAATTGTTCCTTTGTGTCTATTTTCTCTGGTACTTTTTCCAGTCGAGCTTATATAGGTACTGGCCGTTTCACTTAGTATGTCTTCGGATACGACCAATGCCTTCAAAGAGAATAACGTACTTCTCTATCCAAAAGTTTATTCAGGTAAATATTAGCTTCGTTGCGATTGAAATTTTCCACTCTTATTACGTCACTTCCTGGTTGATCTCGTACGCCAAATATCAGGTCATCACCATCAGGATCTACACCGCGCAGTCTGTAAATTAGACTTCCTGAAAAGCACATAAATTACGTTTATTAATTATAATCGTTTTTTCAATTCATAATAAATTTAGCTCTTTCGTGTGTATATTTACGCACCTACTGGCGTTTCCGGTCCTTCCTTCAATCTGAGGACAATTTCCGTCTGTCCGTCTATCAGGAACCGTGGAGGATTATTTCTCGCACAGCATAAGGATATCGAAAAGATGACTATGAAGATGATAAGAGATATCCTCGATGTAGTCCAATTAGTATAATGCATTGCAGTGTTCCGCATAATATATCCTGACGTCATCATGTATCCAAGATACGTTTAATCGTTTGCATAATTCGTCAGTTCTACACATTCGTCCTGTCCAACACAAGGTACTCGTATTCGAGTTGAAAACTGCTGAAACATGTACGCGATTTTGCGAGGAAGACTTTCGCGTCTCCACAAAAAAAAAGAAAAGTATTAAATCCTCCAGCGAGCGCCGCGACGCTCCGCCGACGAATAGCGATGATTAACAAGGCGGCTTAATAATCTTCCCAGCTGATCCCAATTAGCCTGGAGAGTAGTCGCGCGACAACTTCCCAGGTTTTCGTTGCCATAATGAGAGCTGAAAGGAGAAAACTCTAGTTGGTGAAATCTGTTTCCGAGATCGGAGTGTTATCTGACTTCTAAGCGCATCCACAGTAAATCCTAACCCATAATCGTCAACGGATGATCAATGCATTGAACCGGTTATTGAATAGAGGGAAACGTCAATTTACATGTAATCAAATGCAGTGACGCTAATCCGCACAGTCTATTGATCGGATCGAAGCATCCAATAAAGAAATAATGTGATTTCCGGTGAAACTTGAAAGGACAAGTAGGACGTTATGTTTATTGAATAATAATCAATAAAATGAAATTTTCAGAATAATAAAGATAATAGTAACCTTCTCTTTTAACGGTACAGTAACAATACAGAGAATCTAGTGGAACAAAAGATATAAAGAAATTTCACATGATCTCTGCAACTTTCTTTATGATAAATACAAGACGAGGAATTCCTTAAGATTCATTCTTGTATTATCCCGCGGGATAATACAAAGTATAGTGTACAAAATGTGTGTTAATTGTATGCTTAAAACTTAGCATTATCATAACAGGACAAACTTTCCAGTGAACAGGTCGAGTTAATCATAGGTACGTGCGAGCAGAAATTACGATAGAAATTACGATAACGTTAGTCTCAGTTGTATACGTTTGTTATTTATTGCTTTTACCGTTGAGCAAATGAAATTCGTCTCCTGAGTTAATTTTTTTAAATTTCACAGACCGAATTGTCAGGCTCCTATTTCAACCGTCGTATCTACCGCAATGGACAATCGACTCAAAGATTTTTTAATCCTGAAGTAATGACTGATTACCAGCTTATACAATCATCTGAATTATGTTTGCCTGATACTTGGCGCATGTGAATATTCCAAGTGACGCATCTGGCGTGTGATTGCACCGAATACGATTTCGCAATTGCATACTGCTTGAACGTCTCATAAGGAATTGTACTTTTTTTTTTCTCGTGAGACTTTATGTCCTGTGGAATTGAGTGCGTATACCAAAGACAGACTAATTGTTTTTCCATGGCTTAATAATATATTAAAGCTACCGTACTAAGTAAGGGAATTTTTTGGAGAAAAAGAATTTTTTAGTAAAAATACAGCAGATACGTTTAAACGGTCTTCTCTTTCCGTAAAGTGTTACGTTCGGTGCGATAACACGTAAATGGATTTTCTCAGCCACACAAACCTTTCTCCTACGTATGGTATATCTTGCCATGCAATGTCAAGAGTCGTTGAATGACCACGAGAATAATTAACCAAGTGAAAGCAAGCAGGAAGATCCGTCAAGTTCTCACGATGACATTATGCAGTGTAAGCGTAACGTTAAAGAGGACTTGACTTCGCGCGCAACCGGTTACGTAAGAAATATTATTCTCAGGGAGACAAAAGAGGTTGTACTGTTTGAAAAAAAGTGGGGAAAAAGTATTCTGAATTCCTTCAGATGAAATGAACAGGAATTCAATCGCTTACAATTTTTTTTCTTAAAAATGCATTGAGGCTTGACATAATTTTTAAAATATATATTTTCGACTAAATTTAAATCAACGAACTATTATACATGTGTTCAGGTTGTTGAACTACATTGGTGATGTTCCCTTAAGCCTCGTTCACCAGTGGCTCACGCGTTGTTCCTTCGACCGTTGTGGACGAGAGCATCCGGCCGTGGTCAGTGGTCTGCAAGGCCGATGCCCGGAAACCAGATAATTGTACAAGATTATAAAACAGCATTAATTCAGCCCCCCAAGAAACATCTAGATTCTGAAAGTTATCACGAACGGAACGACCTCCCTCTCATTGCGAAATCTTTACTGTAAAATGGTAAGTACATTGATACATGTTCTATAGTAAATTTTCAAGTGCCATCTCGTTATGGTTTTCAATGACAATGAGTCCCCTAAATTTCACAATAGTACCTATAGACACGATATCATCGTGGTACCATGGTGTCGTCATATATAGGTATTATTTAAAAATCCATATGCCAAAATTTACTTGCCTTTGAAAATTGAGTAATTTATATTTACTTCTGATCCTAAGAACTCTAATTATCATGTCTCGTGTGAATTTCTATGTCAAAGCTTATGAAACCATTTCTTCAACCATCAGTCACTTTTGACACTCTTAATGCGTATATAAATAAGTACTTGTACACTATCGTAGAGCAATGCTCTTCTTACCAACAAACTGTATCGGCTACGCTCCTGCCTCTTACACTGTAGGATATGAGACCGCTTTGGAATTGAATTATATCCTTACTATAGCCCGGTGCTTTGTATTTGAATTTTGAGTAGCATCCGCTGCGAGTCACAGCTGTGCAATTACACCCCATGTATATACATGCTTCATCGTATTATCATATTATACGTACGTCCAACAGTTACCAGACCTAACATACTTCCAACAAAGGCTGATCAGTTCTTCTTTCCCTTTATCATTTGGCATGAGGTAGTTTCATGTATTTCTTACTGAATTTCAATTTTTCTTTTAACGAAATTATTAATTATTAATAATTTTACAGATAGTCACGCGTTTATCATTTGAGCTTAATTATTAAATAAAATTATTAATGATCTGAAGCGTGTCGATTCTTGGTTCTAGAACAAAGTCAGACATGTATGGCTGAACAAAAAACAATTATACAAAGCGAATACTGCATATTGGGTAATACCGAAAAAGTAACAATAGCGGTAGTCAAGTTCAGTGCCACGTTTCGCAATTAGTCACGGTGACCTCGTGCTCGTTTAACTTATCCCCCTTTTTTTTTTGGAGGATGCAAAATATTCAAGACTTAAAATTCCATACGTTATTCGCTTCACGTAAATAATCGGTTCGTCCAAAATTTGCACCTCGCGTATTCGCGAATTCGTTTAACGTCAGCTTGGATAATTTCATCCTGGTGAAAAACAATAGTCGATTTTTTCAAGGCTAACTATACTAACCGGAAGTTTATGGCTGACTCAGTTCAGAGTTCCGCCTTTCGTTTCACTGAATCGATAATAGGAGTCTAGCGGAACAAAACCATTATCAATAATCAACGATGATTCGAATAACGTCTCAATTACGAAAACATTACACCGATATACTGTCATATAATACGACTGTACACGTGTGGGTTTCGCTCATGTTTTACAGAATCGTAATACGATGGTGAAGCCGCAGCTATCAATAATTCAATTAATGAATCGATAACATTGTGAAATAGAAGTTGTATCATGTATCATGGAAACCCAAATAAAGTCAACCGATAAACTTTTCCCATAACACAGTTATCATGAGAAAGTATATCAACTAAGTATATCTACTTTTAAATACATTATTAATCTATAAAATTAAATGATATTCAACAATTTTCTAGATCATCTAGCATTACGATCATTGAATACCCAGTGGTATTCCTGTGAATATATCATCATGATTATACTGACAAGTGCACAAACGGGCTCTTCTCACCAGGAAATTGCTTCCACTTTCGAGATCATTGAACGGGAATAAAAACTATACATATTCTGGATAAGGTGAGGACATCCTGTTTATTCAGGTTATGCGGATGCTTATTAATGGTGTGATTTTATAACTTAGATTTCCTGTCTAAAAGTCCCGACACTCTGTCTAGGCTTCGTTACTGTGCATTCAATTTACAGGGGTCCCGAAAGACTGATGTTTGTGCAGGAGGAGAAAGTTTTCGTGGGGTACATTTATCAGACACATTTGGAATGACTAAGGTCACGTTCTGACCGGAAATAGTGGCTGGCGTGTGCGGGGGCACGTGACGTCACTTCCCACATCTGCCATGCGTGTTTCCGAACGATATCGCCATGCGGGGTACATGCGTATACCACTTTACAAACAGATGCATATATATAGGATATACCGACAGTTTCGAGTCTCACCCCTATAAAATGTAACGTTGCCCGACGACCTCCCCTGTCTACGAACCGCGAAATAAAAGTTAGCTACTACATTAATTCTCATACGTGCTTCCAGACGAGTTGTATTTTTATTGTGAAATTTATAAAACTGTCTCTTTGAATAAATTTTATTTTGAAACGCCTATATAATTTATTCAAAAAAAAAACATTGCAAAAATACAAAATGACATACTTTTAGAAATTTCTTGACATAGATTCGTAATTGATAATCGAATTTCCCGCGATTATGTCCACTTTCTAGTGGACACTTAGTCCGTTCATCCGGAGTGAACAGATTTTTTATAATCGTTTTATTCCTGAGGATAAGAATCTGGACTCGCACAAGATCAGGTTTGAGATCGAGATCGAAATAACTTGAATTTATTGAGCTACGCATGAACGCACGATTGGATAGGGTTACAGTTTACGAGTGAAGTTCTAGCGTGTAATTTAATAATTGTATTTCTACAGTAGTGAAAGGTTTGTTCGATTATTATAAAAATTTCTGTAAACATTTACTGATGATAAATTAAATTATCGTTACGTGTATTATTGATATATGTATATGAATGTACGTATTGAGTTATTTCATGATAATGCAATGATTATGGAATGTGGTAACGTCCGATTCGCAATTTGTACATACGCATATCAATTCATCAGTGAATGATGATTATGACTTTCCCTTATTTGCATATAATTTTCGCATATACATAACTCGCGTGTGTGTATTTAATTTGATATTAAAAAATTGCCGGTATCTTATTACAAGGAGAAATCCAGTGTTATAAAATACTGGCCTCGGTATAATAAAAATATTGTATAGACGTTATGATATTGCTGTTGCTTCATGATTCAGAATATTCAAATGCTGGATCATCAAAAAAAAATGTGGCACACGTTACTCCGCAATGAAGTCTAATAGAAGGTATTGGGTGTCCACTCTGATTATTAACTTTGAAAATACGCAACGAAACAGAACTGCATATGAGACACGTGTTTTAAATTTTATTTTGCCGGGAAATCCAGCAAGGAAAATTTTTAGTCAAACTTAGCTCGTACCGCACATCAAAGTTTGCAGTGAATTCAAAGTGAATCACGTGTTAAATCGGCACTAATTGCACGTCAGAGAATTTCTGGAGCTATGCACTGACACGCTGAATGTGATAGACACCTTGTGTGACAGAACCTTAATTCAAAGCTTTGTAGAATAATTGCATGACTATCATAGCAAAAACCCAATAACAATCCAAATACTGAATCAAATACGAAATCAATTCTCAAAATGAAAAAAAAAGGGTATTGAAACTTGTTGGCAAAAACGTCAATTTAAGAATCTCAACAAATTAAAATACTATAATCAAATCCTTATATATAACACGTATCCTGTACTTACCTATTTTAGAATATTTTTCCTCCAGTAATTCTTTTCCATACTTCGTATATCCTCAAATTGATTTCAAAATTCGAAAATTTCTTTTACTTTATCACAGGTTCTTTTAGTTGATATTAATTGACAGTATTAATATTATAATACACTCATAACATTTAGGTATTATATGTATGACAGTACTGATGCCCGCACGGTGCACCTGCTCAGGTGAGCGCACGAAGTAAACTGAACGTATCGATGCTGTCAAGTTGTTTCCCTACTGCAGGTTACTAGCATTCGTTCCCCGGTGAGCACTGACCGTGCTGGAAACACCAGGGAACACACGGTTGTCCAGGTTGAATTCAACCCAACATGTTCCTCGAAGCGTGGACCGCAATGCCCCACCACCGCCGGTCACGTGTTCTATTAAGAGGAATTGTCTTCTGGTTTCTGGAATTTATTATAATTACATCACGATCAAATGTTTGATTAAGAAGAGAGTACAATTAATTCCTATTAAATTACAGCTTCATAAAATTACTTTTATGTTTATTTTGAAACCGTGAGAAAACGTTCATTTCATTTTTATTCGAATAAAACGCTACGGTATTGAGGGTGAAAATGATATGGAACCAATCGATGGCAGGTGTTTTGTACGACACAGGAGTAAATGCAAGATACATTAGGGCGGTGAGTGATTAGTGTAAAATAGACATTCTAGTGTTGTATAATCAACTTTAATTGAATATTGTTACATTTTCTCAAGCTATGCTATAGTAATATTTACTGATTAATTATCCTTTGGTTCATCGTACATTGTAATGGACAAAGAATGTATATTTGGTACGATATTGACTAGGGTAATAAGAATTTGTCAGCAATAGTTAATATCCCATCAAACAAGGGTGCATCACATACTCTATTGTTGTATAAAAGCGTTGATTGAAGATAACCAGTGTGTGTTCCGAAATCAGTTTTCAGTAACTGGCAGTACTGCACTGGTGTTCCATAGAGCCACAGTGTGTTAATGGTGGTGCTGTGAGTTACTGGTGGATTTGGCGGTTGAAAGCAGTTGAAAGTGGAAAGATGGCCGTGAATGGAGGTAAGCATAAACATACTAATAAGAATTCAGTACGTTATGTGCAGCTGTTGAACGAAAAAAGCAATAATTTATATACTATTCATCTGGCAGAAGCGAACTACGATAGAGTTGTGAGCGGTAAGAGTATTTCACATATTTTTCTTTTAATAAAATGAAAGAATTATACGAACTTAGATACATAGGTATAGCAGTACCCTTTATGTAGTTTGTTCAGTTTTTTTGTGGATTAGTTGATTTCCATGATATATAGTTCACTTTGTTAATTATACTGTTTCGTCCAGATAATAGATGAAATAATGATATGATAAAACCTCTATCAGTGGCAGGTTTTAATGTCTTAATTTGAAACAAAACAAATATATATGAAACTTTTATTTAGTTTAATCGTAGTTGTACATTGGAAAATGTATATGAATAGCTTTGATATCTTTTACAGAGCATCAGAAAGTTTCGATTGTCAATGATATACACTTTTATAGTAAAGAAGCTACAAACGAAAAAGTCTTAAGAGGGCAGAGCAGGAAGAGTATCATCAACGAAACCTCCGTTTGAAAACGGAAATAAAAGACGCTTTCATCGACTTTTTATAAAAAAAAGAGGACTAAATATACACCTACTGCAGAGACTGTGTAGCAATATGAATCTAGTCCAAACGTATGCATATTATCACTGCCTTCAAATACTCAAGTATATACATTAAACTTAGGTATGAGTGCTTGAAGATTACTAGGATATTAATAAAATGCTATGCTAAGCATAAATGTACAATTTAAGTGAGATTCGTTAATAGTTGTGACAGAATTTAATATGTTATAAAGATGTTAATGTTACAATCCGGATAATAAAAAATGTATTTGTTTTACAATATATTTAATTTTGTTTATTTTGTACTTACCTTAAAGTTTATTTGAAATAGTGAAAACATTCCATCAATGGAACTTTACACATAACAATTTGAGTTTTATTGCAACTCCCTTTACCATTCTCCGGTTTCACATTAGCTTACTTTTTCATGTAAAAAGGCGATACGCATAAACAAATCAAAAGTTTATTATAATCTATTATGGTTCATTTACAAGCCGTTGAGTTAAATGCACCCGTTTATGTATAACTATTTCCTTTAACCGAATATCTACATCGCACGCTCTCAGAACTGCAATTGATTCTACTCTTTTTATCAAAATGGGTATTTAAAAATCGTCATTGTTTAGCAAACAAATATTATGTAGAATGCAACATGCAATTATATATTTTGAAATCCGATCTGCTCTTCACATTGGTAATTTTGCTTAAACGGCAACCCCAGCGTCCTTTTAATAACCCTATTGCCCGCTCTATCATCATTCTTGAAGAGGATAACATAGTATTGTAACAAACTTGATCAACCGACAAATGTCCATTGTCTTTGTAGGGCACCATGACATGTTTCTGAATAGTATAGACTGCATCGCCTAGTAAATAGTTGTCCTTTGGAAACTTTTCATTGTCATTGCATATATCCTAGAGTCCAGAATATCTAAATACTCGCATATCGTTTACCAATCCAGCTTATCCTGCATAAGCATGTATAAATCTTAATTTATCACAGACAACCTGAAATGTACGAAAGAATGCATTATATTTATATTGTATATGTAATCAAATATATGTAATATTAAATAAATTAATAATAAATACCTGTAATTGCATAGCATGGAAGCCTTTACGGCAGATATAGCTGAGAGGTTCGATGCTTGGAGCTACATTTTTAATAAGAGTTCCATTAACTGCTCCGATCACCTTTGTCATTCCATATTTTTCTTCAATATTTGTCCACATTGCTTCAGCTTGTTGTGTAAGGCTATTTAATAAAATAATTAGGTACTTTATACAATTTTTTGGCTACTTTCATCACATATCTCCAAGCAGTAGCTTTCTCCACATCAAGTTTGTTCCACACATCTATGAAATTATTTTGTTTAATATAGATGAGATGATTACACTGCTATAAGTAATTCTATGTCCTTACCTATAAGAATCTGGTGTCATTAAAATCCACAATGCAATCACCAGTTGTTTTTTAGTACAAATTGTAGTCCTTATAGGTGCTCCGCTTAGTCCTTGCAACCTTGATCTGAAGAGCTCCAAGATCCATTGAAAAGTATGAAAACACATGCTATCAATAAATGATTAGAAAACTGTTAATTATTTTAATTACAATTTTACTAAGTACTATAATTATTACTTACCGAAAATGTTACTTAAAATCCTCATTATCATACACAGAGACAATATTTTCGACATACGATTGGATTCTGGGTCTTTTATACACAAGTCTTCGTTCAAAACTCTGATATAAGATTTGTAACTCCACATCATCATCATCATTAGAGGTATCTGATGAAGAAGAGCTTTCGAACATCATTGTGTTCATTAATAGTATTGTTGATATTGCATTTTCCTCGTTTCTGTTTATCTCCACAGCTCTTTCCATGTCCACCATGTTCGAATTCATTCAAATTCATTCTAATTACTGACATTTCGGAACGATTTTGCAGTGCAGTACTGGAATTTCACTTAACTACTGAATGAGAACGATTTCGGAATACACCCCTAGTCGATCTTCTGCTAACGTATGAAATGTGGAGTCAGAGATAATGGATCGGGTTTCGCGTACGTCAACGATTGTAGGTAAATAGTTAGCATACAATGATTATTTGAACACCAATATTTTTTTCCTACATTGTACCTACTGTTGGTCCATCGTATGAATCTAGTTAACCGACAGAGTTTTATTTAGATGCCAGTACGGTAGAAAGTTCATGTCTGTCCTTACCTACTACGGATTCTATACTAAATTATAATAATATATGTATATTATTAAAACATACTATACATCATAACAACATTTCTATACAGTAGTAAAAACTGAAATTCTTATTTTACGTTAATTTATTTTCCCCATATAATGCCCTTTCCCCATCTTCTTCATGACCAGCCGCACTTCAAGAGACTGGGTCGAGTCTCGCTCCAAGTATATATATACATATATACAGGTAAGCGGCTATACAGGGCACGGACCGCCAAGCCTCTTTACCCGAGTTAACTCTTATACCTGTGTTTTGAATCAAATATCTTATGAACCGCTATATATGAGAAAAAGTTATTGGTACGTTCACTATAGGAATTAAGGATTCTGAATCGATTGTCAATAAAATCAATACGATTAGTGTATGTGATCAAGACGCATTGAGGGGTGAGCGAGATGATTTTATTTCAGTTCCGTCGTCGTCGTCTTTGCACGTCCATTTACTGTTCTACGTAACAGATGGGCATGCGGTTGAGTCTTGCGCCAAGTACAGGCAACCGGTGGTACAGCCAAGGCGACGAAGGAAATCATGTAACTGAGCATCATTAATGGCCGCCTGATTGTGGACATCGTGCGGTGAGGTAAGAGAGGAGAATGTATGGTGACTACGTTCCTTGACCCGCGTGTGCAACAGAGAAGGCACTACGGTACGAGCGAAAGGCCAAACCTCGTGAGAGCTTTGCTAGCGTCATATCGCCAACTCGTTCGCACTAATGCTCGGCGAAAAGGACGCAATGAGCGAAGCTGTAGCGTTTTGCTCACACCATAGTATCCTCCTCTCCGTTGCTCGACGGCCTGAGGTACGTAAATAATCTTGCACCCTCTTACCTTTATCATACTGCATCAACAAATTGGACATCATTAATGACGCATTTTCTTTTAAAATTTGTATATATTTTTACGTATTTCTAAAAAATAAATTGAAACTTATAAATTAAATTGATATACCTTCAAATATTTTCGACAACGTAATATATTTTTATGATTAGCCACGCAACAATGTATTTACATTCTATATCTGTAACAATATAGACTCGAATGCTCAGGATTTCTTTAATATATCCCGTTGAGCAACAAAAACTTGTGATTTCTTCCCAAAAAACACTTACGTGCAAAACACTATGCCAAGTAAAGGAGTGCTGTGAATTCCTCTAACAAAAAGCATTTAATTGATGTAGACTTGACATGTCGGTGTAATCTGTGCCGCGCGATTCTAATATGTAGCATGTATTATATACATAAAAGTAAATCCTCCTCGGATGGTTAACAGTGATTTCATCTAACGGTCAGAAACTTAAATCTACTAAACCATTGAAATGAAATTCCCTGGAAGGTTATTCTCCTGAAATGGCGTTGTATCGTGTGGGATTAAAATAACTAAGGCGTTCGCTTAATCCAGGTTGTTACTGCTCTTTACTTTTGCGTCTCGTACAATCAACGGTCGGCCAACTACTAACTGTTGTCAGCGGTGTTTCCTCACTTTTTATATCCCAGCTTGCATGCACACTCTGATACTACAATCGCATACATAGTACTCTACTATATTGTTGCATATCTCAATCGAGCAGTCGGTAACCGAATTTATTGTTCCAATAACTCGTATACGTAGAATTAAAGGTTACTGAAAACCTTACAAAGTTCGAAAAAGAATGAAGTAAGGTGGGAAAGAATGTTGTGAAATGGGCCCCTCCCACTGAGCAAGCTCAGCGGATGAGGCGGAAGGGCAACCCCTGTCACCGTACTCCACGTGTCTTACACGAACAGAATGAACTACCCTCTTATGTAAAGGAAAGTAAAAAATAAGTTAAGAAATAAAAAAAATGAAAGTAGCAAATTAAGGAATACGAGTATGGGACTAAAAAAGAAATAAATATAGAAAAAAAAGGATACAAATGGATAAGATAAGATCGTCCAAGAGCCTGGTATAGGCGACCGGATCGTGGTGTAATGAGTGCTCTAAGCTTAAGCATTTCCAAAAGTGACTCCCCCCTCCCCGTCCCCCTTTTTAGGTTCTGCACAGCAAATCTGCGCTCCGACAAATTTTACAATTTCCAGCATTTCTAACTATTACCCACCGTGGTTCCTGCTTTTCAAGTGTTAATGTATACACTTACTAATATAATTCATCGATTGGGCCACTATCAACATATGAACTTTTATTTCCTCTCTAATAGTGATATTACCTAATGGTCCAAAACTCGAAAGTATTACACTACTAAAATAGAACCCATCCCCCCCCCAAACCACTTACGCCTAAAAACTATGCCAAATACATAAGTCACTACGTATCTGCTTATTATATGATTTAGCACTAGCTTATCATTTTAATTGTATTTTCCAAATTTCCTATGACGTCTTCGTTACTCTTTCAAATTACTACTGTTTCTCATACTTAATTATGATTGAATGGTAATTTATTGATTAATAAAACTTCAGGTGATTCCTTATCGAGTTTTACCTGGTGGGTCCGTGCATTACTTGATATAAATTTTCGTTCATTATGCCAGTCTTCAAAGTCAAAACCAACGACAACTTTATGTATAGAGCGTATTAGCAATAACTGGTCAAAAATACCCACGGCAAAAGCCAAATAATAAACATATAGTCTTAGAATACTATTAGTACATTCAAAGTAAGTGCTTTGGAATTCGTGGTATGGATCCGCCAAATAATACTCGATAAGGAATCGCCTAAAGTTTTATTAATTATTAAATAACTATTAAATCATAATTAACTATGAGAAGCAGTAGTAATATAAAAGAGTAGCGAAAACGTTAATCGAAATTTTGAAAATAAAATTAAAACGATGTGCTAATGCTGCTAGTGTTAGATCATATAATAAGCAGATATGTAGTTACTTACATAAATTGGCATTAATAATATGATTTCAAAACTTTTTGTTAGAGGAATTCACAGCACTCCTGTAATTGGCGTAGTTTTTTACACGTAAGTGTTTTTTGGAGGTTACTCTATCACCGGCAGTCTATCTATCACCATAACACGACACACGGTTAGTCAGGCCCAACGCACCATCTGAAATTAGCCGGCCAATTTGATTTCTTTGGTAGAATAGCCCCGCACGGTAGAAGATGAATAATAAAGTGTAGAATAAAGTTCCTTGGTTATCCACCACTTACAGGTGGCTCTTCAATCTCATCGCCAGGATAATGTAAGAACTTCTGATCGCGCGATCCTAACAAGATACGTTCTTGCTACCAGCACGATCTATCTTTCTTCGATTCAAAAGGTTACACATACACCTAGAACAGGCGACCTTTCCTGTTCATTTCCAAGACACAAGATGCTTCTCTTTTCTCCAGTACTTCCAGCAGTAGTATCTTGTGAAATGAAAGAAAAGAAAAACGATAAAGAACAAGTGGTCAGTACAAAACAAGAAAAAATATCGAATATGGCCAGAGTTAAATTTCATCGTATACACTGTTCGGAAAGCATACAAAAAATCTTGCGTCTGTTCAGGACCAACATGTAAGTTGACACAAGTGGCTTCTTGGTGCCTCTCTGATTTCGGCCAATCGATGTCCAAATAAGTAAAAACGAGAGTAGCCATCATTTTAATGCTACCACTTTTGCGGTAGCAGTCGAGTAGTGTCCAAGTACAATATTGTATATAAAGAGCAGGGCAGGATGACTCGTAACTGCGGTCAAATCAGGGAGACACAACGAGCCACTGGATTCCTTCTGGGATCCCAGACTGAAAGGTTCTCCCTGCATTAAAGAGCAACGTGTGCAAAAAGAACTGCGTTGCTCGGGGCACATCCTTTCTTCGCAACGTGGTTCTCGTGCCTATAGATAAGTGTGCCTTTATGCAGGCATTAACACAGGGTCCTCACAGAGTTTCCTCGTTGCTCTCGTAGTGGCTCTCTCGCTTGATGTCTCGCCCTCCCGGTCTCTCTCCTCGCTCTCTCCACGTCCCTCTATACCTATAGCGATTGGATTCTCTTTTAGGGACCGTGCTAAGGCTGCCAGATGAAAGTATATAACCGGTTCGCAGCTGCAGCCAGACTGGAGACTGGGCATCGGCCGCCGCAACAGCGCAACCATCAACCACACAGCGTACATCGTGCACACGTACGAGTCTGCACGCAGGAGAGGATCAGGCATCGCTAGTGCATAGGGGTATATACGGTACCAGCTAAGAGATACCAAGGAGAGGCACGCACGAGGTAGAGTCCGTATGTAGACACATGAGAGTGGCTGGAGGTGAAGAGGCAGTGTCGCCCAGGTGCCCGAGCGGCCTCTGCCAAACTCTCTACCTCTGCCACTCTCCTCTGACCCGTTCTCCACGCTTCCTCTCTCCGCCGTTATCCGTGCCATTGCCCATTGGCCATTAGCGATTCCCGTACGGCGTATCGTCACGGGACGGTAATGGGCCCTTTTACAATCCTCTTCGGCACCCACTAGCACCGACCGGAGTGACGATCCGTCAACCCTACCAAACAATTTTTAGCCCTGCGCACACGTGACCATCCCCTGGTACAGTTCTTGGTGTTTCAAGTGGTGCCTGGCTTGCATTTGCCTCTTTTGTGCGTGCACCGTGTGATCAACAGTGTTGCTATGGCGACTGACGTGCGGGACGTGCTTCTGCCTAGAAGACCCTTTCGATCTCTAGCTCGGTTCACGTGACGTGGATAACGTGACGCGTATCGTACGACTTTCGATATCTTTGATGCTATCGGTTCTTGTGATTTTCAAACCGAACATCCGGTCTCTTGCCCGTTTGGGTCTTTGCTCGGTAGGACTCAGGGCTATTCTGTCTATGACCTCTCGTGCTCCCAGGCACCAGCATTCTACTCGCTTGGATGCTTATGGACGATTTATAGTCTCGTCCCTGATGATCCGTTCTATACGTCACCGGCTGCGGACGTTCACTTCCCAAACGTAATGCCACGTGTTGCTCAGTGTGTACGGCACGTTAATGACCGTCATTGAAGGTGCAGTCGTGCTACTCGCCATACCAACCACTGTCCCGCAAACACGACCTAGACGAATGTGTTCAGTCGGCATTGTACTTTCTCCGTGGTTAGTCTAGTCGACGTACTCGATCGGCACTGGCATTCCAGTTTCTTAGTTCGATCGGTACGCGCAGTGATTCACGATGGGTGTTCATTGTTTCGCCTTGTGGACATACGCAAATGCGTGACAGATATTTTCGGTGAATATTATACAGAGGATGCGTTGAGTGAATGGTGGTGGAAATAGGATAACTGTGAAGTTGATATAGTGCTGATATTAAACTGTGCAATGAATATTTACTCTCGTTTACGTGAAACAGCTGAGAATCCAGAATAATGACGTAACGTACCGAAAGGAATATTTAAAACTTTGCACTGACAGAGACGCACCGGAAGGTCCTCGTGTTTCGTAAATACTCAAGGAGGGAGTGACGTTATAAAAAGTATGCTCGTAAATCATCTTACTTCGTATCTATTCATTCTTGTTTATACGAGTCCTCGATGCAAACAGTAATCTATATTTTACTTGGACGTACACTAAAAAGGAAGAGCCAACATTATAAACGTGAACTGTGTCACCGAGCATTATTCGAGGCAGCTGAGGTATTTTAATGGTTGGCATAAACTATACGACCCCGTGTCGATTCCGACAGAGAAAGAAAGAAAAAGGAGGATCAATGAAAGAAAGCAACCAGAACATTTACGGCATCGTAACATTCAAATGAGAAGTTTCAGACACGAAGGTAACACGTTTAACTCGTCCGCATCGCCGCGATAACAACCGGAAACGGAGAACGTTCTGATGGGAAGTGATGTCTACCTATTATGGCAGAGCCTTTCTCGAAGAGATTCACTACAGCTAAGGTAAGATTTATATTAGTTTCTCTTATAGCGTCAAGCCACGTGTACTAATGGCAATACGTATTTTACCACTGCGCGTAAGCACGCGTATTTATATACCAGTCGTATATTATGCTTCTAAGTTAGACTCCCTTTTAACAAGAGCTGTCGCAACAAAGTCCCGGTTCGGACTGTACAGTACGCCACATGGCGGTCAATGCCTAAGAATTACTTATTTTGGTATTTGGCTTTCCCGGCCGGTTCCGGTTAATGGCATGGCCAAACGAGGAGCCAGGTATGTCTAATCGCCAAAGAGGTATTTGTATTTATGGATCAGCTTATCCCCGAAACTTCTGTCTACGTCCAAAGTGATCCTCAAACCGCCATGTCACTTAAACGATCCGCGTTATTTGCATATGCTTATGAATTTTTTTTTCTCTTCACCTTAGTCCACACCCGTCGCATTTGCATGTTTCGTATTTTTTAAAAGAAGTTAATGGATGTCGATCATTAGTGTAATAGCACATTGGATGACTGGTGGGGTCCACTAAGTGCCACTTGGTACTAAAATACATTGCGTCTCTACCTACTGGTAGGCCCCTCTTAACGTGCCTTTCAATATCTTCAAGTTATAAGTCCACTTTCTGACAATTTCAAAGGTATACTACTTATAGTTCTTTTTAGAGTTTTTTTTTTATTTATTTATTCAAACTCCCTTCCCACGTCGCGACACGCAGCCTTTTTACTTCCTCTTTATTCCCGGCAGCGGGCATTATGATTTATGGAGCTATCCACGGCGATCTATTATGAACGTACAAAGGCAGCCCGATTTCTATCTTAAGAGAAAAAGTAACTACACAGTAGAACCGCTTCGTTTCACTGCTTCCCTACGCGATGATATTGGCACTGCTACTCATCTGCGGCACGCTATGCGAAAAAGCCAGGCAAAAGTGTCCATGCTTCGTTCATTAACATTAGCATCCATCAAACCAGTATGCAGCATCGGCATCATCGTATCTCAATCCCTCGCGATCGAATGATCGATAAGAAACGTGACAGCGCATCGACGCGATACCATCTTCGATAATCAACATTCCTACGCAACGTTCAATGCCATGAAATAGAGGGCAACATTAATTTAAGAATACCAATAACGATATTCTGGGATACTTATCCTTGAATCGCTTGCTTTCATAGAAAGCAATATCACGCGACACCTACGTATCAAAGAATCCTGGTACGATATTTGCCCCCCCCCCCCCC